GTCCATTCTATAATTCTATGATTCTATTTCACTTCATCTCAATTATTAAACTATTCTTATCTGAACATGTGATTTTTACCTTTTTCTTTGATTCTCCTCCCCATCCCACCACAGTGGTGGAGAGCGAGTGGCTGCATGGTACTTAGTTCCCATCTGGGGCTAAACCATGACAATTAGTTTCTCTGCCAGTCATTGTATCCTTTTGCTCTGCTATCAGCAGTTGTAAGCGTAAGATCAGATTTTCACTTAAATCAAAATCACTGTTAAACAAACCTTGAGTTTCAAGGGGTCCATATCTTTAGACATTTCTTGTTTTCTCATCTCAGCAATGGTCTTTGGTCCCTTTTTATCAGATTTTGCTGAAAACCCTTGCTTAGGTAAGAGGTCTTCGAAGTCATTTTCCGAAACTTTTGGCTTTTGACCTATCAAAGGAGAAAAACATTAAATGAAAAGTTCCATAGGAGAACACATTAATGGGGGAAGCACATTGCACTTAGATATACCTGCATGGCCTCTATCACTACCATGATAAATATCCTTCAGTGACGTGATAAACTCCACAAGACTAACAGAAGGATAGGAATAAAAGACATCATCGACAAGTTTTCAGTCCAGCCAAGCAGACAACCTCACATCCATTCATCTGACTAAATACTTGCATCCTCTCTTTTTAAAAAAATGGAGGGAGCACACATCTATCCATGATTTTGGAAATGGTTCAATTTTTCCACTGTAAGTTAATTCTAACTACTATGCAGCAGTTTTTCAAGTGACTATATACTCAATACTCTAGTTGACAGTATGTAGTCAACATCTAAGTATGTTGAAACTTATACAGAATAATGAAGGGATAAAAAACCAACATGAATATTATTAAAGAACTAACATATTTCAGAGAACTGTTGAATAACTGAATTATGAACAGGCCTCTGGATGTTATCTAATCCAATCCCCACACAAAACAGGGACAACTAAGCATATTTCTCAGGTCCTTGTCCAGTTGAGGTCCATGTGTTTTCAAAGGAGAGAATTTACATCATCATGTTTCAGCACTTCATCATGCTAAACAATTTTCTTGCCTTGTTCTACAGACCTTCCCATGCTGCAACTTATGCCTGCAGTCTCTCCATCCTGTCACCTCTTTACAGATACAGATCAATAGAATCATTGCAACCTAAAGAAGTATCTGCTGTTCACTTATATGCCAGTATAAGGGAGGTATAATCCCAAAACCAACACACCAAGAAAATAAAATTTTCCAAGAAAGTTTTTGTAGAAGAGGCCACGCCCACTCCAGTGTCTCTAGGTTTGCCTATTCAGTTGGAACATTTTAAAGGACTGTTTCCAAGTATGATTTCATCCTGTCCCCTGATCCTGTCCCCACACTTGTCTGAAACACAAGAATTTCCAGGAAATTTAACCTCAATCTCTCTCTAGACTAGGTACTATTCTTCAGCTAGGAAAAACATTGCATCTTTTACCTGTGTATCACAAATAGACTAACATGAAGCAACATTATCGACCATCTCGCCTCAGATAGATCAAATTCACCTTTCTAAACCCAGAGATACAAAACCAGTACCCATGTGGATGAGTGAATATAGCCTGGAGACTTCATGCCCAAACTTGCATATAACTGGGCTGTGGTTAGCCTCTCTCTGCTATATACTAGTATAGCTTTGCAAAAGGAGGATACCAGATTTGCCAAGCTATTTTCTGATTTCTACTACTAAAACCTAAACATAAATAAAAATATGAAGGTACAAGAGCTTCTGAATGTAACAGCACACCCGACTAACTTCACACAGAACATGATAATAATGGCTTCAGAAAACTTACCAAAGCTTGGGGTTCTGACTCCTCTTTCTTCTCGTCCTCCAATAACACTCATGTGTACTGTGTAGTTGGGCTTAGCTGCTGTGCTGGATTTAGTCTGGGGCTGCCATGAAGTACTTTGTGGTTTTGGAGCTTTCTGCCACTGATTTCCCACCTTCTGAGATGGAGCAGGCTTCTGACTAAATCCACTACCCAAGAGTCCACCACTGGAGGAACCTAACAATAAATGCTAAGTTAGCTGTACAGCTCATGATCTGCCACCTGTTCAATACAAGTAAGATAGTTTGGTCTTGATATATAACCACATAGTTCACAGTAATACCATCATACACGGGAAAACATAACAGAAAAGTGTGGGTAAAATGACATCAAGAGTCTTACTAACAAGCAACTTTGATGGTAGGAGCTAGAGCCATTACTAAAAGTCTTCCAGCCTCTTACAAGTCAAGGTCTTAACTGTCAGTTTTCAGAGAAGCATCCACTCTTGGCTGATGGGCCAGCCATGTGTCAGGCCAGAACATAACTCAGCTGTGACTGCAATTCTGCCTCCCAATTCATTACACTTCAATGGTTGTCGATACACAGAGGACAATGAATAAGAAATTATATAATCAAAAAAAAGTAAACATTGAGAATATTTTCAAATGGATATTTTCCAAGTCTCTAGTGATTTCTTGTCCTACTGTTTGAGAAAGATGAGAAGATTACGGTACAACCCCATTCCAGCCTGCAGGAGGTACTGTTGTAATCACCCTAGTCAGATACAGAGGCCAGAATTGTCTGGGTACACACAGCAATGTAAACTCTGCTTTTTCAAAACTAGCCCCTTGCACTTCAGCTATCCCAACAGCTTGCTTTTGTAGCTGCTGCTTGTAACTCACACAAGAAGATGTCTCACCCAGGCCACGTGCTCTCGTATACCATACTGTACCTTTAAATACCACAGCAAATAAAACCTAGTATTGCAATGCAACACCCATTAAAGTATAGGAATGCCCTGTTTTTTCATGAAAGCATCCAACTGCAGTCAACCCAGTCTTCAGTCATTTCTAACTTGTGAATTTTACAGAGAAAAGATCTGTTACCAGTCAGAGTACATGACCTTGCACACTGAAAAATTCTCTCTTTCTACTATTCTTTCTAAGCATTCTACATTTATTTCAGTCTTCAAGGCCATCAAATTCTTCCTGTAGGAAAAGTTAAAGCCTCACTATTAGCAGCAACCTTACAACACCACACTCCTACTTTCTGATAAACCGTTCCTAGAAAAAGAGGATATGATAACACCAACTAACATGGAACACTATTGCTATCATAGCACTAGCCTAATACACTACTATTAACTACCTCTAGCTATTGGGTTTTTGGCTTTATACAGCATTCACATTTAAGTGGTTTGCACATTCATAAATCTTCTAGAATAATGACTAGTATGTGCAGGCCAAAACACTCCTACGAAAAATGCAACATAGTCCGAATGCCAGTTCTTACAACTCCTTGAAAATTCATTTGAAGCCTGAGATGGTTAACTAGCACAGTGATATCTGGCTACTTTTTAATGCAGAGATTTTTCCTATTGAAAGTTAACTGAAAGACTAATGAATTGATCTAAGTCTTGCTACAATCAGTACAATTTCTTCCATTAGATTCAGTGCATGCTACAACTGCATGTCCAAGTCAAAGATGAATTGATTTTTTTTTACTGTCATGGTATCTGTAAATCAAAGTAGTCCGTATTAAACTCAATTATTAAACAAATGAGGAAAGCAGCCTGTCGTGGTTTAACCCCAGCAGCAGCCAAGAACCACACAGCCTCTCACTCACTCCCCCACCAACAGGATAGGGGAGCGAATTAGAAGGGTAAAAGCTACAAAAACTCATGGGTTGAGATAAAGACAGTTTAATAGAGAAAGCAAAAGCTGCACACACAAGCAAAGCAAAACAAGGAATTAATTCACTGCTTCCCAAAGGTGTTTAGCCATCTCCATCACGTGTTCCTTGGGAAGACAGACGCCATCGCTCCAGATGTCCCCCCTTGCTGCTTCTTCCTCCCACCTTATATACTGAGCATGATGTCATATGGTATGGAATATCCCTTTGGTCAGTTTGGGTCACCTGTCCCAGCTGTGTCTCCTCCCAGTCTCCCATGCATCCCCAACTTCCTTGCCAGCGTGGCAGTATGGAAAGCAGCAAAGGCCTTGACTATGTGTAAGCTCTGCTCAGCAATAACGAAAACATCTCTGCATTATCAACCCTGTGTTCTGCACAAAACCCAAACATAGCCCCATACTAGCCTCTATGAAGAAAGTTAACCCTACTCCAGCTCAAACCAGCACACAGCCAAATTAGTCCTGCTTCAACACCAGAATTTTGCAAGTGATTACGTCCAAACAACATGAAGTCCAATGCCGTATGCTGCCTTGGGTTTATGTAAGGTAATTCCACCAGTACAAAATAAAAAATGCTAATCAAGGCAATGGTAAAACGTCCATCAGCTCCAAGCTAAGAGAAAAACACATTTCTGCAATTCAGCAATGACAGGCTGTTGTGAGTCACTCCCTGCTCACATTCATTATGTCAGTGTGGGTTTGAAATGCAAGGACCTCGGCTATTTTTATTGCCCATCATTTTCCCTCTGTTTGAGAACACTGCAGGGCTAATTCCTAAATTTTGGGTGAATATAAGAGCCTGGAGTAAGTGTTACTCTGCTATGTGTCTTATCTTCCATAACTCCTTGTGCCCACCACTGCAAACTAACGTTTGTAATACTTATGGTACTGATGCACATGTATGAGTTTGACTTGTGCTTATCTTACAGACATAATAGATGTGAGTAGCTGAGCTAAGAAGGTCTACTGAGTGCAAAGAAAAGTACTGCATTAACAGGAAAACAACTGTCACTTTGGAACTAACATATTTAACTAATTTAATATAGCTTTCATTTTATATCCTTCAAGAGCACTATTAATCAACGCCAGATAAGAAGCTTCATGTTCAGTCACCGAATCAGTAATCAGCAACCTCTGGTGTCTCTTACCATCTCAACTAAATTCTGAAGCATTAAGTATTTATACTGTTTCTTTATCACAGCTGTGGTTATCTTCTGAAATATTACTCTGAATGTTTCATACAACATCGGTAAGATTCAATGTTTTCTGGTTACTTGTCAGCTCTCAGCAGCTGCCTCAAGCCAGTTGTGAACAATTACAAGAAAACACTTTGCTTACAGGCTATCAGTAACATTTATTGGTACAAGAAGCAAATCAAACAGTAGAAGTATTAAGTATATATAATCTCTTAAAAGTAAGATCTTACCTGGAAGACCAGATCCAAGACTGGCAAGATCAGCAAAAGGATCAAAGTTCTGAGATGTAGCCTGGCTGAAAGACAGACCTGAAGACACACTGGACTGGCTCCCTGTGGTAAAAGCTTGACCTGTATATTAAGAAGGCGAATGATGTACATGGTGCATTTGGAAATGGAGAGAATTAATAGATGTACTATTTCCAGAAGACCTCGTGTAAACCTTCCCAGCATTCTACTTCATGATATCTTTTACCAGGACAAAATAAAGAAAATTAAAAGTTAAAAAAAATCACTATTACTATAGAGAGCTGGAACTATTTGATTCCTCTGTCTTGAATGTAAATCTGAGAAACTATACATGTGTTTACAAAAGAAGCATTTAAGCACAAAAGCACAGAGTCCTTTAAGCAAGAAAGCATAAATGCATGAAGACATCTTCAGCAGTTTTAGGGGATTAAACTGACCAAGTCTGGAGCATTTCTTGTTCGCTCTACGGAAAAATTTAGTTTTAGAATACCTTCACAAAGAGGCTTCAGCTGTGGTGAGGCTATATTGCTGGTCATTGAGGAATCTTCCCAAGAATCCCATCCACTTAAGAGATCTGGGTGGCTTGTAGAAGATGGCATTTTAGGTGGTTCTGGTGCAAAATTCCCCACAAAAGAAAAGAAAGAAATATTTTTATTATTCTTTTAAGAAGAACATCACAATAATGGATATTTTACCAACAGAGTATACCACATTGTCAGCTACAATGGTCAACTACATAGCTTGCTTAAATTTCTCAATAACACAGTTTATGCAGTCTTAAATAGGACTCAGAAGTGTTTTACCACTGGAATTCCTTCACTGATATTTAAAACATCCCATGCACTGCATTGATAAGGTATTTTCATGCACAGGCAATGCTATGAATTTAACATCTTAGGTCTCCTGGGCAAAAGGACTAGCTAAGGCATGGATTTAGGGTGAGCTGCTGTTCCTGACAACACAGCAGCTAACCAGGAATCAGTACTGCTTCATGAAATGGTGACCTTTATCACTCAGCAGTCTGGGTGCCACAGGTGGACCCAGGTCACTTCAAACTCCAGGTTTGCCTACCGAAGGCCTCATGCAACAAAGGGAGCTCTTGACCAACTAATAGTCCTTTTAGGAGCAACACATGAATGAATGCATGCAGTCAAAGAGCAGCATACAGGAAGAGTGATCTCTGATTGAAAATCCATGGAGGAAAGCCACCTTTCTATATGCAAAGCAAAACCACCACGCCATCCAAAAACAGACAATAAGAAAAGTCATATTCAAAAGGATGCAAGGGTGCTTCCATTAACTCCTAGAAAGCGTCACATCCAACATAAGGTTACAACTGCCATCGCCAATGCTTGCAAATGATTGCCCAGTTTCTCACTCACATGCAGAACGAGGTGAGCCATCCTCAGAATGAGAGATCCTATGCATGGGACACTCAAAGCTGCGTGCCAGCTCTAGCATTCCCTTTGAGCACAGCCTGTAGAGACTCAGTGAAGCAGGACATGTTTTTGAATGTGACTCCTACATTCAATGCTATGACAAGAGTTGGTGCTACAGGGAGAGGTGATATTTCAGCAAAACCAGTATATTTACTGGTGCTCTAAGACACTTCAAAGACATAAAGCTGAGGAAATAACCCAGCCATCCTTACAAAACAGTGACATTTTGAGGCTTGGGATGTTTGGATGGCTTCATTACAGTCTTTCAATTCCCTTTTCAAGTTTGTGCTCTGAATATTGATACAAAATTCTGTTATTTGAGGAAATAAATGGAACTAAATGTCCCCTCTAGTACCTCAATCCACTGATACTATTTACACTTACACTATTTACACAAAAGGAGCACATCAAATACGCTGCAACAAATATCTCCCAAGAGCCTGTATTTCAGCAGTATTCTCTGCTGCACATAAAGGAAAACATCAGAATAAAATGCAAGAAGTACTCAGCATTTTACCCCCTTCTCCAGACTTAAGCCTCATCTCCCTGCCTCTGAAACCAGGAAAGAAACAGTACCTATCTGCCTCAGTACTCAGGACCATCTAGCTATCTGCCACACAGCAGTGTCACTGGCTGGAAACCTCATAGTATCTAAAACCATCTATTCATCAGAAATTTGCTGTATCCTATGCCGCTCCCAAAAGTTAATATTAGCATTGATTTTCAGGCTGGAAATTATTTTTGCTTGTGATCTCTGCTATTAAAAGTCTTTTTTTACAAAAAGATAAGAAAATTAACAACTACATATGGAATTAACTACTACAAAGCAGAGTTGAGGGAAATAAAAACAATGAAACTACAGCTTATTGAGATTGAGAAAACACTATGGGAATCAGCTGTTTTATAACTGCAGGCTTAAGAGCAGTCAAGTTCATCACCTCCCCCACACTGAACTAAGCAGGAAGTAGCCTACTGCTATGTACAGCAGTAAATTCACTATTAATAGTACAAGCTCACACACATCCACTGCACTTCTATCAGAAATATCTGAAACAACTGAACATGCAATATACTGAACAAATAAAATAATCCTCCTGAAACTGTTTATTCCTATGCTATATTCTTTTTACTTGTACAACAGGGTCATTAAGTCAGATTTTAACATCAAGAAATAGCATTATCAATGTGATACTCTCACTTCCACAAATTCTGAGAGGTATGATGAGAACACACTCCCTACTTTTGTAACTGCCACACTGGAGATCATACAGACACATTAAGGTAAAAGAGCAGAACATCTAAAGAAAAGGTAAAACATGAAGCATAGCTCAGTATTCCGAAAATTGAAGCAATTAAGATCATGGACATGCAGATTCACACCTTAAGTTCTTTGAAATGCATCTTTAAAATCCTTAGCTATTCAGCAACAAACCACTGGATGTTGGGTCATAGCTCTATGTTCTTTACCAACACTGCTCAAACCAAGCTTAGATGTAAGTATAAGTTGGTTGTAATCAGATCACACTCTCCAGCTTCCCAAGATAAGAGACCTGCATTTTGCTATATCCTACATACAACTTCACATAAGGTTTTCTTTTTTTAACTTGTCATCTCGAGAGGAAATCCTTTAATCACAGACAACAGGATTTTGCTGTGAACTAAGAGACTGGTTTAGTATGATGCAAGGTTCTTTTCACCTTGTTTTCCTTTTAACCTTGTTTAAAGCCTGTCTGAGAACACAGTTGTCACAGAAACTAATAACTCAGGAGTACACTACGCTGGTCACTCAGCTGCTTTTGATCACCTTTCACATCTCCTGTCTTTTGATTAGATCAGTTCATTCTCACAGAGGGAAATACATTTCTGACTCAGCCTGCATTAAAGATGACCTGCTATTTGCAAATCCAAAATAAAACTAAATTACCTTGGTAATATACAGAAGCTTAATAGGAACTGCACAACACTTTCCTAATACAGCACAGAATGGTTAACAGACCAGATATTCCTTGAGAACTGTCCTTCATTTCAAAACTCACATGATTTTAAATTTCAAGCCACATTCCAGAAATACAAGCCTACAATTCTAATTCCAGAACTTATGTTCATTGAAATGGTTTTTCCCCTTGTATCTTAAAGAGGTTTAGCAATCATTTACTATCAATGAAAACTTATCCATCACTAAAATTTTATTCTTACACTTACTACTGCTCCAACAGTAGATTCATCAAATCTCATTACTGGCCCTTATTTTGAATGGCCATTGGCATTAGTACTGATTTATTTTTAGTGAGGTTTAAAATTGTTTCTAACTTTAATGGCCTCATGTTTACTTCTGCGTGCTTAACACAATTCTTCCAAGCATGTAATTTGAGAACATGTTTTCATTTGTCCTTTCTTCTCCAGTTACTAGTGATCATGTCCTTTCACTCATTCATATTAAAACAGAAACTACTAATATTCCTAACCTCCTTGATAAAATTTATACCTGTAACTGGATGGAATGCTAAAGGCTCAAATATTTACTTAATTTCAGCTAAACACAGAAAAGCTGCCATCTGAAAGATAAATGTAAAAGAGCATGAAAAGTAACCCAAATTCCTCCACTTTCATAATGTTTCATGGGCCTGCACAGCAAGAGAGAAAGATTGGGAAATCACTATATAACTGCACATGTAAGTATATTTCCCTTATGTTCACAGAAAACTCCAGAAATTATAATAAAATAGCAGGTGTGCTAATGCATTTCCCAGGGTTTAAGCTGTTGACCAAAGTCAGAAAGAGTAAGCATAAAACAGAAGTCAGATTTTAAAATATTTCTTTTTCTTCTGTACTTGCTCAAATGTTACTCACAGCTGAACACTGATGGTGGTCCCCTTCAGGCTCAATGTAAACATTGAAAGAGCAGAAATTCACATTTTTTCTAACTTGTATTTAATACGTAAAAGAGTCCTCTGTCATGTACGGCCTGGAACATCTAATACAAGGACAAGCTGAGTGTGCTGATATTGTTTAACTTGGAGAAAAGAACTGGGAGCAATCTTCTCAATCTGTAAAAGTACCCAATATGAAGAAACAAGAAAGACTGAGCACTCTCCTCAGTGCTGCCCAGTGGAAGGACAAGAGGCAGTGGGCACAAACTGAAACACAGGAAATGCCATTTAAGATGATGTTGGGGGTTTTTTTTCTGCAAGATCTGTCTAACACTGTCATAGGTTGTACAGCTGTAGAGTCTACATTCACAGAAATACTAAAAATCAACAGATGAGGTCCCTCAACCCCTCTTTGAGCAGGTCAACTAGATAACCTTCAGAGGTGCCTGCCTTTAAAGCAAGCTAGATTTTGGCTGAGACCATAGAATCATAGAATATCCTGAGCTGAAACCGACCCACAAGGATCATGGAGTCCAACTCCTGGCCCTGCACAGGACAGCCTCAAGAATCACACCATGTGCCTGAAAGTGTCTTCCAAATGCTTCCTGAACCCTGGCATGTTTAGTGCTGTGACCACTTCCCTGGGGATCCTGTTCCAGGGCCCAAACACCTTCTGGGTGATGAACTTCCCTGTAATATCCAAGCTAAATATCCCCTGACACAGCTTCATGCCATTTCCTTGGGTCCTGTCATTGGTTCTCAGAGAGGTCAGTGTCTGCCCCTCTGCTTCCCCTTGTGAGGAAGCTGTAGATAGCTGTGAGGTCACCTCTCAGTCTCCTCTTCTCCAGGCTGAACAAACCAAGTGACCTCAGCCACTTCTCATATGGGTTCCCATCAAGGTCCTTCATCTTTGTTGTCTTTCTTATAATGTGGTGCCCAAATCAGCACACAGGACTCAAGGTGAGGCAGAGCCGAACAATCACCTCCCTTGACTGACTGGCCATGCTGTGCCTGATGCACCCCAGGACACAGTTGTCTCTCCTGGCTGCCAGGGCACACTGCTGACTCATATTCAACTTGCCATTGACCAGGGCTCCCCCTTTCCATGGTGCTTCTACCCAGTCTCTTGTTCCCTAGTTTGTTCATAGATCCACAGTTGCCCCATCCCAGGTGCAGAATCTGGTGGAAATGCTGCTCCATAGATCAGTATTGATCAAATCTTCTACTAAGGAGACAAATTATTATCTGTTTGGTAACCTCACCCGGTGACAACAACAGGGGCATAAAGCTGGCAACTATACAAGTATACAACTAAAATATACATCTGTTACTATCTATAGGACAGAACAAAAACATTGCAAAGGAAGCAGCAAGTGGGATCTTCTCAGCAGAATCAACCACAACTGGAATATAATGTTTAACCAAATGGTAGAGAGGTCTATCAGCTGGGTAGACTTCTCTTTCAAGAGAAAGTTCTCATTTCAGACAAATACGGCATTTTTTTTTTGTCTAGTTTCTCTGTAGCTAACACTCAGACTGCATCACTCACCAGCAGGGTCAACTAGGCCAAATGTTAAACAAGGAGGGGCAAGTCAAAGCCACATGCAATAAACTCTGTGAAGAAACACTCTGATTCAGGATGAGAAATGTGATACCACCATTCCTAAATACCTGCAGGTTGTAAGCAGGAGTCAGCGTGAGAAGAGGCCTGGGTTTCTTTGTCTTGGACACAGCCAGCTCCAACAGACCCACCACATGACACAGCTGAGCCCATCAGCCAACATGGTGGTGTCTTTGGGAAAACTAAGTTAGAAAGGGCAGAAAATGCTACACAGCAGCTGTGACAGAAGGGAGAGAAGTGTGAAAGAAACAGCCCTGCAGACATCAAAGTCAGGGGAGGGTGGGGGAGGAGGTACTAGAGCAGAGATTCCCCCACAACTCATAGGAAAGACCACAGTATAACAAATATTCACACTGCAGCCTGTGGAGGACCTCACACAGGTTAACACATCCTGGATGAAGCCACAGCCCAGGGAGAGCAGTCCACACAACAGAAGACTCCTGGCAGGAGCTGCAGGCTCCAGGATACCCTGGAGCAGTCTGTTCCTAAAGGACTGTACCCTACAGAAACTCATGTTCTTGAAATAAAGCATCCTGTGGAAAGGAGCAAGAGAAGAGTGTGGGGATGAGAGAGCAGCAGAAAAGAGATGTTACAGACTGACCACAACTCCTATCCCTATGGAGAGGACCCACACTTTTCTTTCAAAGTCAGATTTTAAAAAAGCTCTAACACTAGTGGCTTTATCATTCCACCATTTTTAAAAAAGTATGTTTCTCTTAAAAGAATGATCGTGCTTAGAAGCTATATTTAGTAACACTTAGGAAATAATGTGCTTAGGATGGAGATACAGGAAGACCAAACCTATTTTTTGCTTTATTTTTTTGTTTAAAGATTAACGGATTTTAAAATAAATGCATGAGGAAAAGGCTTCGCCAAGAATACATCAGAGAAATGAACCAAATAAGATTAGAGTATTACATAATGTACTTTGTAAGTATATTACAAGAATGCATTGAGGTCAAGAAGGTGCAAGCTAAACTCTGATTGCATTTTAAGAACTGTCTTTACTATAACTTGACTTGCTCATTTCTTTTCCACGGTTTCCAGAAAATCTTTGAAATCTGAATACAATCAACATAGCGTTCTGTCAGCTATAAAGTAAGTTTGCAGGTGTTTGTGTACCCTCAGTTCTAAAAGCATTGAGAGGAAACTCCAGCTTCTAACAGAATGTTAGCAATGCTAGAAATCCTCTCACATCATAAATAAAAACATGGCATTATACAGGAAACTCCTGCTTCTCGGTGCATTTGTATCTGCATTCCCAGAAAACAGAGCTAATTAAAACAGCAATCACAACAAGTGGATCTATTAAGACATTAATCCACCTTGACTAAGCTGAAAGACTAAGGAGCAGAAACTGTTGATAAACAGAATACCAGGAGCACACTTACCTAAATTGAAGCAATCTGAGCTTGAAGAAGGCGGAAGTGAACTGTTTGTGGAAGCAGCTACAATAGGTGTAGATGTTGCGGGTGGAAGGAAGTCCACAAAGAGGTCTGCACTAGACATGGCTTGATTGCTTGCACTTGATGACACTGTGAATGGGTCAAAAGGATCAGCTAAAAAAGAAGCAGAAAACCAAATTATCTTATGACAAAATTTAGAATAAATGAAGTTGAAAAAGCCTTACTCCTTTGGGGGCACAGACAGAAAGTAAAGTACATATTAGTAATCACCACAGCTTTCTGCGAATTTTTCACAGCAAAGAATGACTACCTGTCCCTTCCTATAGACAACTATACTCTCAAGTTAGTACAAAAAGTATCTCAGCCATAGACAATATGAACAGCTATGTCTTCAAACACAAAACCTTAGCAAGGCAACATACCATTCAACAACATTTGTAATTTCATCCATTTAAGACACCTTAAATTTGAGTGATCTTCTGCATACAAACAGAAGAATTCCATCTGTTAAATGCTCTATAATGCCAAACCTCCAACAAATTTAAAGGAAACCAGCTACTATATTACTAAAAAGAGTATCAAGTAAAACACTCATACTACCATTCAGACTTGAAGGCATTGGCGATTCTGGGGCAGAAAGCGCGTCAACTCAAGAATGAAAGCCAACAGGAGTAAGACTTCAACAGGTCTCTAGTGACCACAATGAAGAAAAAACTAATTGGAAGAGTATTTATAGTCAGCATGGAGTAACATGTGACAGCCAGCTGGAATCATGGATTGAGATCTTCCTGTTTCTACTGCCCTCTAGGGTCAAAACCCTCAAGAGCCCAGGGACTCCTGCCAGATTCACTCAAACTGAAGAGAAGGAATAATCCTGCCATGGTGCCCCGCCACATCCTGAGGTAATGAACACATTGTACAGAACTCAGGAACACTTCAAAAACAATCCTGGATTGTCACTAAGCAAATTTACTATAACATCACATCTACACAAAATCAAGTGTAGGTTTGACACAAACTGAAATACAGTGGCCAAATATTCTCACTCCTGCAATTATACTTCTCTTATACGATTCAACGAAATACATGGACTGTGAATGAATACAAGAATGAGATACATACATGACTACTGCTCACGTGTTTCACACAGTAAATGTAAAAAAAGACATGTTTGAAGAAAGATAAAGTAATAAAGCTTCTCTTTTATAGACTTCTGCCTACATAAAAAAGGTAAATTAAAATGATTCCCCACTGACCACAGTAATGAAGTTCAACACTGACTTTCCTCAAAATAAAGAAACATTTTAAATCATCTAGCTGTTCGATAAAAAACATATTGCGGTTCTCTGTAGATTAAAGGTTTCAGCTCCCATGAATTGTCTTTGTGCAAACAAGCTAAACCTTGTAACAGTTTTTCAGATTATGTGACTAGTATTTCCAGACCTCTTACTGTTAACTTCAGGCAGCAAATTGTTATTCTCAAAAGTTTAGTAATGTTACAAAGACCTGAGTATCCACTGGTAAGAGAAACAGAACCTCTAAACTAAACAACTTGTTTAAATACCAAATGGACAGCAGTATGTACCTCTTTCAGGATACAGACCTGCCAACATCATCAGTAAAACCAGCAAGAAAACATCTTCTAGCAGTACCATCATCCTACTGGTTTGAACAATAATCTACAAGATCTCCAGTTGCCTAGCAGTCTTATGTGATTAACACTTTAAAATCCCACAGAGACATTTGACCTAAGCAGCACAGTTCTGTACATCTAATGCCACTGCTGTACATAAAGTTCAAGAAAGCAGTAAGTTATGACAGTTCTATGCCTTAGCAAGAGAAGTTATTTACACATGGATTTAGAAATGGATCTAGCATGTAATATTTGTATAGAAAAGCTACGGATCTTTAAGAATATTGAATCTCCTTTAAATTGAAAATCTGATACTTTTCTGTTTACATGGCTTAAACCTAACAGGACATAGGCAACATAAAATACCTGGATAATGCACAGGAATTTATCTCCTTCATGCAGAAGTAACACCTGTTCTATGTAGAGTCCTGCTATAGACCAAGAAGTACAGTCTTCACTGTACTGATGAAACATGGTACTTATTTTCTAAGCACAATGCAAGCAGCAGTTTTCATACATTGCCCAGGAGAGGAGTGCTTTTGAATTCACATACCTGTAGACATGGCTGCTGATGAAGATGTACCCTGAGTAGGATTTGGACACTGACTGTCCAAGAAGAAATTCATTCCTTGTCCAAGAAAATCTACACTGGTCTCTTCTGAAATTGCACTACTCACAAACAGGCTGTTCAACAAGTCTGCATTACTAGATGAAGAGCTTATCTCTGAGACAGGTTGCTTCTGTTCTGGTGAAATATCAGAGTCTAGCCCCAGCAAGTCTACAGTCTCTTCAGGAAGAGACTTTTGTAACGGTATAGATGGAGCTTCAAAAAGCAATTCTTCTTCTAGAGTAGAGTCTTTTTCACCACAAATTACTGTGTCTTCTCCACTTGCAAATGGAGGAAACTCCTCATATGAAGGATCACTCTCCTCTCTGTCATCAGTTAGTTGAACACGATCATTTTTAGATGAACTGTCCTCTATTCCACTTTCTGGAGATATTCCTTCTTGAATATAAAAAAAGGACAACAAACAACAGCTTCAGATTACCAGAATTATTCTGCCAACCAGGACAAGACAGATTTTCATGGTGAGATCATATGAAATCAATCTCTAACTAATCAACACTTACGAAAGAATTGCAGAAAAAGGAACTAAATGTTGCCTATCACCTTTGTACAGGGATGGCAAAGTGGGAGCTCACTCCCCTACTTGCAACTCTGCAATGGCAGGTATTAAAATGTTTCCAAAATGAGACGGAGTTGGACATCCACCTCAGACCATTGTGACACTGATGGCTTAGAAGGTCTCTCAGTAACTGCTGCTCTAATTAATGACAGCATTCAACGACAGCATAACCAGCCACTGACATTTCTGCCAACAAAGTAACACCCAAAAAAAGGGGTTGCACATGCACTATAAAGTTACATTTTCTCACTCCATACATACTGATCTGGACACTACTGGCTGGTCTACTTTGTTTCTTTTGTTCCTCAGCCAGCCTAAGTGGGGCTGTGGGAATGCAAGGCTCCTTTCAGATCCTTAAGGTTAAGATTTTTACAGAAAATGAAAAATTTAGCTCAGCTTTTAAGTTATTCACAAGAACAAAACCCATTAATTGGTGTTTATCCAAATGAAGTGGAATGACCACTTGTTGGCCCACAGAGTTCACTCTTTCAATAGCTTTTCCTCATGGTCTGGTGAATTGGAGACTTTTGCTGCATAAGAAGGCTTAAGCACTCATTGTAAGGTATACAAGACAAACATAACCCAAGAAGTTACTTCAAAAGAAATCCTGTACCTTTCCAGTCCAGAGTGTGAAAGAAGTTATTTGGATCAGCGCTACTGCTGTGTGGGGATTCTGTATCAGTCGGTGCACTTTCTGAGGACTGCTCCATCTGGGCTGCTTCTGCTTCATATTGTGCAGTTGAACCTGGTTGTCTTGGCAGCTCTGGTTTCCCTATAAAATAGAATTTAAGCCAGAACCCTCAGAGAGAAACTTCTAAAACTCAGTCTCATCATAGCAGCTGGCATTTGGCTTGCAGACTGACTGCTGTAGGAAGACAACTGTCTCCAATACCCATAGCTCTGTAAACTCCTGTCCCCACCCCACCTTTGAAAAATTTGCATTACTAACTTTGTTTCAACTGCAAAAAAACTGTTAATACCCTGTTTTCAACTACAGCATTAAATCAGTCTCATAGCAAAAGACTCAAGCATTCTATTTATATTTGTAGGAAAATGTAACACTTTGCTTGCACCAACCATCCCATAAAACATACAAGAGCTATGACCATTTGCAATAAAAATAACCACAGAAAAAAGCAAATGCAGCTGTAGAAAAAAAGTATAAAGCCAGTAAAGAACACGGAGCTGTTAAGAAACATCTCAAAGGGGTTAAGTAATACACTGTGTGCAACTAATAACTGATTCTCATATTTCTTATTTTATGAAGATCAGATATTAAGTGACTTGTGTAAGAATGAGTTGGGCAGAGTTACCTACCTAGTGCTATATCATCTCTCAAAAACAAGGTTTTCTCAAGGCAAATCAAGAAGACTCCCTAAATAAGTCAATATTCATCCACTGTTTGAAAAGAATGGATGGATGCCTGGGAGAAAGCTATTTCTTGAAATCTAAATACAAAAGTGGTACACCACTTTTTCACCCTCCTTCCACATTCTCAGTTGTAGCTTAGAGATGCAGAAAAGATAGCCTATCTCAGAAAACACACATGAAAGATCATGAGTAATGAAATAGAGTAAATCCAATTTTAATAAGGCAAGTTTTCTGAAACCAGTTCACAGCACTAGTCTTTGTCCTATTCCCTTCCCAGCAACTTTATTTTCAATGCAATTTGAAATCCTTACATTTCATTTACCAATCAGAAAAATTGAAATGACTTGAGAAAATGAGTAATTTTTACAGACCCTCATCATCAATGAAATGCCTTAACTATAGTGAGCTGAGAGCTGTGTTCACAGGAGGATTAAACTAAGTTAAATAGAAAATTACCTAAATCATAATACAAACCAAACATACCCAGCTTAAAAGCAAAAGGGCCAGCAGCAACTATCTTGTATCAAAAGAAATGTAATTGAGATGTACCATATTAAGAGCAAAGAGTAAGATCTCATGTATCACTAAAATCACCATTGTAATTCCATCACGCTTTTTATTCTGGAAACACAGAGAAGGCTTAAGAACCTGAATGAAAACGTCAAAGCCGATTACTGATACCAGGAGAAGAAAGATACTGAAGAGCATTAACTGGAATTAATGCAGACATCTACAGATGAAGTACTGAATATGCAGCATTCAAAAGAAAATGTCTGCTGGAACATACTAGGCAATGCTGAAGAACTGAATTACAGCATTACTTGGCTATACAAGAACATTGATAAAATATTTTTGGTTAAGACCATTTGTAAGGAATGCTCAGATGATTACAATTGACATGATACTAATGCCAGTTTAGCCAAATAAAGCACTTTCAAGATATCTTGCCCATAAATCCTGACTGTCACAGCTCTATTTGTTAAAGTCTCCAGAAATGGCATAGTCACAGCTTTAAAGCAAGCAAATGTAAGGACAGTGGAAGTAAGACAAGTATAATTATAATCCCTTAATGGAGGATAATTTAAACTCCTTCATATAACGCAAATTTTAAGTGATATTTACAAAAAAAAACACCTTTCAAATTTCTTTCACTTAATGGAACACCAGAAATGAAATAAAAGCCTCAAACACTAAGTACATTGGAAATGTTATCATGTTCTCTAGTTTTTTAAGGTATTCATTACCAAATTTTGATAAAATTTCTTGTTGTTCCTCTCGGGTGGAGAAAAGGATCTTGGGATTCAGTCCCTTTATATTCATGTTATCCCACGGTGGCTGTTCACTGCTAGGCCTATCTCTGGGCTCCACCTCTACTTCCAGATTGACTTGAAATAAATCAGGATATTTTTCTTGTATGTCACAGGCATCCAGATCATACCTGTAAAGATGCATACAAGTAGATTCTTGATACTGATGGCTAACTGGATTAGATCTGCTGCAGTCCAAAATAAAACTTCAAAGCAGTCAGTGTACGATTTAAAACATGCTGTATTTGTTTACTTTTCTCATGTATTTTAAGCAGGTGGTAATTTTTTTACATAAATTATTTTTTTTCGCATCATGAACAAAATCTTCAGTTATCTTGAGGTGAGAAAACAAAATAATCTTATTGCAATCAAAGTTATCTACTTCCTACACTGACTATATTTCCTTCCCCGTTACATGTTGATTGTTGGCAGGCTAGACAGTTTCAAATAAAACATCTTCCAGTCTCCTACAAAAAGGTGTCAACATACTTGGCAAATTTTACTGTGGTGGCATTTCGGGGCACAAAACCTGTGTGGAACTGAATCTGAAACATCTTCATTGAAGCCATCTGTTGAAAACAAGAAATACAGGAAAATTGCATAAACCCATATGAACAGTATGCACAGTGTTCTGCCTTTAATATAATGCAAAGTATTTTCAGTATAAAAATATTTTGAAGCGGCTGCTGTGCTACAATTTTCATTTAATTCCACATATACTTTAGATATTTACATGCAGTTTCAGACAGAACTTAAATAGATCTATTACTACCCCTAACAAACTAAAAGACCTTGAGCCAGATAAATCTCATAGCTAACCTCAAAACAGACTATCAAAGTCCTAAGTATTTCCAGATCCTGTTTTGGAGCCTGAAAACAGATGACCTTTGTTACTTTTCTGAATAAGATACACTCAGAAAAACCCACTGTGCAACACACTAACCAAGAAATAAATGTCATATAAAATGGAGTCAATTTAAAAGAGCATTAAGTGTAGCATATTTAAAAGGATGCATCATCAGGCATGCAGAGACTTCTTTTTTCTCTGCAGCTTCTCAAGTCAACCATTCATTCCAGACAATGTTAGGGCTTTTCTGAACTGTTTCATTATAAGTATTCAACCTTCCTAGCTCTTTTTGTTCTGTTGACAGAAAAACTGTTTCCTGCAGATCAGAATGTGAGAGTCCATAAAATGCTACTATAGAAGACTCAGGTAGCTCACGGTCTTGCAGAAATCCAAATCACAGCTAACTGATAAATGCAGAATGTATCTGTTCCCAAGCTTTAGTTACAATACAGGTGAAATAGTCCTGCCAGTCCTTACAAAGGGGTCATACAGTAACAGTCAAGAAAATCTGATATAATAAAATTGAATTATGAAGGCTTTCCTTGTAAATGACCACTTACTGAACATCATAACCAGAAATCAAGTAATGCACACAACACCGTCATCAGGTTGAGGGAGGTGATCTTTCCCCTCTATTCAGTGAGGCCACATCTGTAGCCTTGTGTCCACTGCTGGCTCCTCCGTACATGAGAGATAATGGGACGTACTGGAGAGAGCTTATCTGATCCACCCATCCCTACCCTGAACTACACACGATAACCTGAAGACCCTATTAAATCAGTTTTCTTAATCCCTTGCTATGTAAGACATTTCCTAGAAGATACACTAAGACCTCTCTCAAATCAGCTGTGAGCATGTGGAAGACACTCAGGATGCCCAGCTCCAGACACTTAGGGGCAATATTGAACTGTGGTGGTTGATCTTCCTAAGAGTTCTGCAGCGAGCTTCAGGGGACAATTTAGACTACATAAAACTAAGAACACATTGAATATTGTTCCATCAAACCTCCAAACCAAGATCATCACAAACACTGCTAATGTATCATGTGTTATAGCTGATAGAAAATTCTAGTCTTTTTCAATCAGTGAATAAACCCCAGAGAAATTACATAAAGGAAACCCTATAATCAACAAAATGAGATTGCAGAAGGAGTACGACCCAACCTTGGCTAAATTTTGTCAGTTATATGCCACTTTCCTGATGATCTTGAATCATACAACAATTATTTTTGTGCATTAAGGATTCATCTCACTGAGCTTTCAGTTTTAAGGTGTTCTGGAAGATCTGGCCTAGTAGCACACTGGGTACATTAAAGTCTTGAACCTCTGCACCATGACAAGATTTGATACTCACCTTCCTACTCACAACGCAGAAAAAACATAGGAACATCAATTTACTTCAGTAACAGCAGATTATGTATAAATATGCATGTTTGCCCCAAATGTATAGAAACTGTCTAAAGGCGCTCCAAGTTATTCAAAATTTTGCACTACCCCTACACGGATTTTCAAGTTTAATTTGGGCTATTTATATGAAGAAAAAAAAACACACACACACACCCTTTTTAAGAAATTTGAAGACAGGCTTCATTAGCAAGTTATTTGTGCTCTTGCAATATTTTTGCATCCAGAGTTGAATTAAAAAAAGGAAACATGCATTCTCCCTAGTAGAACAAAGACAAGTAAGAATATCAGCTATCAAAACTGAACCTGGCTTTAGAAGTAGGGTACAAAACCACATGGATTTTCCTAGCCTGTTTTGTACAGGCAGTCCCTAGAATTCCATTTGAGTAGTATTTTCCTTTGTTTGCAGTTTGTGTGCACAGAATTAAAAAGCTCCGGCTGGTTGTACAACTTAACAGATGACAATTATGGCCTCAAAAAAAAAGTGGCTAGGGGCTTTCCATGCAAATATAGTAATTATCACTACCGAAGTAAATTCAGAATTGCTTAGCGAAGCATCTACATGTACAGCACTAAGAATGAACACACTTAGGAGGCTTAAAAAGACTGAATTCACAAGTCTATGAACCCTCAAACATTTCTTTGAACAAAGAATAGTGAATAAAGCCATGTACCTAGCAAATTACAAGCAGGATACAAACCTGCAACAAGATAAAGCAAATCCTCCAAGGAGGCTTTTAAATTTATCATTACCTTGGCTTGCAGTCGCCCTCCTAGAGTTGACCTGGCATGATAGATCACAATGAGAACATCTCCTTGGACTGTTATACCTAGTGGAATCACTGCTTTCCCATCTTCAATTTTAAACTCCCTAAAGAAAAAAAAAGCCAAAAAACATAACCACAGTTAATTTAGTTTTAAAAAGTGTGTTGCCTTATGTTTAGTTTGCTTTCCTGAAGGCCTTCAATAGCTAGAAAGACTTTGATATTCCCTCATTTTTACAGTTTGTGATTGCCTACACCTAGTACTGTTAGTACCATTTGCAATTCCTGTTATAGACACCCGAGCTGTACAGGGGCTATTAAGCAGTCACCGCACAGCTACCATGCCTGGGGGATCCTTAGTTTACACTTTACAGCATATGGTGTGAGAAGAGGGTCTGCCTCACCTCTGCTTCCCAGTGCTCACTGTGCCACCCTAGCATCATCCCCACTTTTCTGCAAGAACAGATCCAAGCTGCTATAACAACTGCACTCTCTTCCCCATGATTTACCTTTGAAAATCAGTTAAGAGGGGACAGAGGAGCCTATGAAAACATAACAAGAGCAAATCACAACCTGTACTTACTTCATTTTGTCATATTCCTGGGAGGTGGTGGTTACTCTCTCATCTCCCACATACACTTCACAAAAAGGCCTGCAGCCATTACGCTGCTTACTGAAAAGTGGAACAGGAGTCATGACAATTGATCTGACAAGGATGGGCTTGCTGTGAGGAATAACAGGTTCTTCAGCCACCATGTCGCACATGTATTCAATATACCTGCCAAAACCAGAAGGTACTCTTTAGTTCTGGAGCTTTAACATATACTCACTCGTGAAACAAACTACTAGTCTTTTCAAAGGCCTTAAAACACTGAACTAGGAGAACTGTTTATTTTGTATCTTACACAATGATCAAGTTGCAGAGCAGTTCTGAAGCTAGTCACCCAAATCTTCCTAAAGGCTTTACATTTATCCTCATTAATATAAATTATCTTGTAGAGAACCCTTTAAATATACACACAGTAAATCTGTACAACAGCATAATCTGTCATTTATACTGAACTAATACTCTACTTCTCATGTTTTAAAACCTAATCCTTTTTGTAGGAAACACCCTTACTACCAGTATCACTCCCTCCTGAGACTATTGTTATAAGATCTATCAAATTAAATCGAATAATCAGTTTTAAACATTTGACAATGTATTTCCAAGTCACCTCTGCATGCACTCCTTTAGAAAGCACTAAGCATTCACACCCAATTGGCTGAAATAATTATTAGTATTTCCACAGAACTTGCAGTGTTCTGACACAATGAAACCTATTGTAATAAACTAGGAAACATGGAGTCTTACATATGTGGAAGAGGATTTTATACTCAAGAAAGCATTCAAAAAGCTCCGTATATACCTTGGTTTGGTTTCTCACATTTCTTTACTACAGGTCATACTTGACCCACTTCTAATAAGAACATCACAGGGGGGCATAGGGGCTCACCAAGAACATAGGGGCTCACCAAATTCAGAACTACTTTCTCCATTTATGATAAATCTGTTTTTCCAAGTACTTTGCTGTTCCAACACAGACATTATTGAAATAATTTATCATCTTTCTAAAAAGAATCCTGTACCACATTCAAAACTGAGTAACTACTTGTTTCAACAGTACCTTTTATGAGAAGGCCAAATGCCAGGAGGACAGCGTTTCATACTAAACATATAAACTGCAGCTTCAGCAGTCGTGAATAGACGACATAAACACAAAAAAGAACAAACCACAACAGCAGATGCTGCTCTTCCATCCTACAAATAAATAAATAAATAAAGGCAACTATGTTATTAAACCTAGTGGGAAAAGCATTACTCAGGTTACTGAAGAACATGTTATCTCCTTATTTACTGTCATGAAGTCCAAGGTCTAGTGCCACTAGATTTGAAGCTTTTATCTGACAGTGAAAGGTTTTCATTTAAATTTCTGTACAATACAGAAGACACTACATATTATCTGCTTGCTCAAAAGTAACTAATTTCTTTAGTTTAACACTATTTCAAATTTTCAATTGATGCTTTTTATCTTACAGTCATTAACACCCATTTTTATGGTTTTTTCCTAGCTGCTATCTGAAACCCCAGTTCAGTGCTCTTTTTGGCTAACAACCATGGACTTCTGCTACAAGAAAAGTACTAAGATTCAGAGGAACTAAACCACACTAAACTCTTTAGTCTTCTGTTTAAAACTGGCTGAGATTAATGGCTTGCCATGAAACTAAGAGGAGGAGATTTAAACATTGAACGTCTTTATGCAGGAATCATGGCTACATATATATCCCAGATTCATCCCTGTATTATAAAGGCACCATGACAGCCCAACCTTTAAAGACCAGTTCAGCAAATCAACATTACTACTGCTGGTGCAATTAGCAAGCTCAGTGATGTCCAGAAGTCACTAACTTAGAGTATGATTCAATGGGCTGGGCACCTGTCTTGCAGTTAAATTTCACACAGATGACACAAAAACACAGTTCATACTCTGAGATACCTACACCTACAACAAAACATTAACTAATACACCCTGGCATATGTGCTACAGTCTTCCAAAATCAATAGAACAGGATGCCAGCTAAAAACAGATCCCAGTCATTGCCAGACCAGAAAGATTTAACTGCAGCTGAAGTAGGGAGCTAACATTTACACATTATTTTCAACTGCTTGGTCTCAAGTGGATGACTCAAATTACAATGTAAAAATTTTACAATTCACATCATTACTGCAAACCTCCACAATAAAGATCTAAAGTCCAGGAAGCTCTACCTGGTTTTGAAGCCTGGCCACCCAAAGGCAGTTACACCTTTACAAGAAGCAACTCTCATGTTTTTTAGTCCAAAAAATTGTATTAGACTAAAATACTTTATCTCTACCAGACAATATATTCTTTACAACCTAGATTTCTTAACTTTCAAATCTACTAAAGTTTCCAAAGAATCCAAGAAATACTGCAGCTAGAATCCAGTTCTGGTGTATGCTTTTCACATCACAACCGGCACGCAGCCATATATTTACAAAAACTTCCCTAACATCTCATGAAAAGGAATGAGTTAGGTACCTCAAACAAACTGTGCCAAGGGAAAGGTGTTACACAAACTGGTGCTAATTCATTACATCTATTTCTTAACTACTTGACCAGCAATTATGTGATACTGAGATACCAGAAGTACCACATTAATATAGAATTAGATGCCTAACCTCACAGCAGCACTGAAAATTACATTGGTTTTCAGAAGCTGACATTAATTTTTTTTCCTTGCAAAACACTGCCAACACACACAAGTATGGTTTGTCAGATAACAAATCCTTCTTTACTCTGATAGCGATATTCCATACAGACTACTAGACCATATCAAAGGGCAGGTTTTCAATGCTTTCCAGCAGCATTGTAAGCATAGTCTCAATTGTCATGTTTCTCTTACACAAGCATAACAGTAACCTCAGATTTTCAAATCTTGAAGAGTAACTATTCTTTAAATCTGCCCCACAATGTCTGACACAATTGAGCAGCTTTATTGCTCTTTAGGGTTATATCAAGTCTAATGATACTGCCGAGAACAGTGAAAGCTCCATAGTAATGTACTGCCAAACAAAGCAAGTAACCAAAAGCCTCCCAGTGAAGTTCTGAAATTCTGTGGCTACAGATGACATTCTAAATGGACAGTAGTGGCAAATGCAGTGCACACTTAACTGTCACTCCAAAAACAAAACCCAGAGGGATCACTGAAACAGTCAAGAAGACACCTTTCTTCCAAAGGCTACTTTCCTTAATGCCTCCATACTACATGCAAGCAAGCAAGGGCTACATTACTCTACTAATTTGCCCAGGGGGAACTGATGCAAGTTCCATACTGACATAGCAGGATGGAATTGCCTCCAGGCGAGCCAATAAAGAAATCCAGTAACAGTCAAACTGAATGGATACCAGCACCCTTCAATTTAAAGCTCTATTGAGCAAAGCATTTCAGAGTTAAATCAATTTCTTACAAGGCAGTGCACAACGCAAACATTTCTCTGGTCTTGTTTCAGCCATAAATGCATGTTCTTGCATATGCTATAAAGATTCTGAAGATTCGGTGCTCGTCTTGCTGGCCAACCACATTCGGAAACCTGCAATGAGAGAGACAAAAGAGGCAGCAGGTATGAGAAATGAGATTACACAGTCACATACATTTGCATAGCACAAGCTGCATATATGAGGCAATTTTACACTTTAATGCCACCTTCACATTGAAATTAAGCAAGTTGCTCAAGAAAAGTAGTCTCGTACTGTGTAAACAGCACTTCCCAGGATGAAGTGCAATAAAATTCCAGTCCTGTCTACAAGTCTGCTGCACTAGAAGCATCAACAACTCAGATTACTATCTGACATTCTTAGAGCAAGGAATAAACTAAAACAGCTTTCAATATCATTTATGCACATATACTTAAAAAAAAACAACAAAAAATACAGCAACAACAGAAATACTATTTCACTTTGTAATTGTCCTTTATTCAAAGAGTTTCAATGGTTAAGTATTACTCTTTCTGCAATTAGTGCTACAAAACACTACCAAATAATGAGCTTTATTGCTAAAAGTCTATATCCTTAAAATCAACTATACAGTAAGGATGTAGTATATGAAACTTGATCCTTCGTGTACTTGCAATACCTAAAAAATAGATATATTCAGGATCAAGAAGCAACTCAAAAACTCAGATCTTTTTCTATTTGCCTTTAGTCACAACCACAATTGCCGGATGTGGAAGACCAAGTTTTCCTATTAGCAACATGTTTCCTACCCAGATAAAAAGTTCAAGGGTTGCTCTGAGATGAATCGATTACCACGAAAAACTGGGTTTGTGCCAAGCACAGGAAAAAAGGCTGAAATAAACAGCGACATACAAAGTCTTCTACAACTTTCCACTGTAGTCTAGCACTTCAATTAAAAAAGAAGGCAGTTTCAAAAAGCATCATGTTCACTTTGTTAGTGAAAGGTTATGCAAAGTCACCAGTGAATGAATAAAAGCTAAGGCCAGAAACCCTTTATATTTCTGTTCACCACAAGATTCAATGTGGGCTTCAGAACATCTCAAATATTGCATAGTGTGTGCCAGTTTTGGCTGGAGTAGTTTTCTTCTAACTAGACAAGGTTATACTTTGCATTTATGCTGAAAACAGTGCCAATAACATCAGTATGTTTTTGCTATTGCTGAGCAGTGTTAGCACAGAATCAAGGCTTTTTCTGCCTCTCACATCACCCCACCAGCAAGTAGGCTGGGGGTGCACTGAAAGCTGAGCGGGGACAGCTAGAACAGCTCGGCAGAACTGACCAAAGGTATATTCTGTATTATAGGACATTTTGCTCAGCATATAAAGCTGGGGGAAAAAGAAGGAAAGGGAGAACATTCAGAGTGATAGCATGTGTCTTCTCAAGTAATCATTACACATGATCATGCTCTGCTCACCTGGAGATGGCTGAACACCTCCTGCCCATGGGAAGCAGTGAATTAATTCCTTGTTTTGGTTTGCTTGTGTATGTGGCTTTTGCTTTCCCTATTAAACTGTCTATATCTTAACCCACAAGTTTTCTAGCTTTTACCCTTATGATTCTCTGCCTCACTCAACCAGGGAGGAGTGAGTGAGCAGCTGTGTGAGGTTTGGTTGCCAACTGGGGTTAAATCACAACGCAGTCAAAGAATCAATGCCTCTGAGCAACCTATTCCAAGCAGTACTCAAAACTGGCACAGAAGACTTCCGACCTACTATTAACTTTAACCAAAATTAAATAAATTTGGCAGTACAGATAGCATACAGCATGAAGGCAATATGTAATTCCATAAATACCTTCTAAGCAAAGTGTCAGAACTTAGAATTTCAGAAGCTGCTCTCCTCTGGTCAAGTTTATGGCTTGCCAGAATTACCTTTTGCAGGCACTAAAGAAAAAGTAAGCTTATCTTCCTACATGGCTGTTCTTATCCAGAAAGGAATAATGAAATCAATCAGTATAGTGCTTTATTTTTTTAGAACAGAAGACAATGCTTTAAGAAACTTCCTAAATACACCTAGACAATAAATAAAGGGGACAAGAGTCTACAACGTTTTGACAAATTATGACCTACTATTACCTCCCAGCAAAACAAAGATCATAAGACAAAATTAATGTCAAAAAGATAAACATGGATAACAACAGTTCCGGATCACTGCTAGATTTAGCTGTGCTCATATTACCATTCTCAGTACCAATACATCAGGAATATCAGTGTATAGACACCTCAGACTTCCATAACAAAAAACTATTTCTAGGGTAAACAAATTCCCAGTCACAGAATTATCATTTCATAAACAGAGACTGATAGCTTTCTATGATAAGAAATAAACCAGTTTACTACATCAGCCTCACCAGACTTTCCAGCACTGAAAAGCATGACTGAAAATTTAGCTTTGAGGTACCTGCTACAAATGATCATGCAGGAGGTTTCCTGCATGATTAAGCTTCACCTTCCATCTTGAATAGCCTCTGCCTGAACTTCATGCTGAACTAGATGCAGATAAAGCAGCTGAGTGCCTCTATTCAAAGAGGCAGTAATGATTTCTTTCAGGTGTGACAATACTTTATCTTGTCTACAGTTTACAAGGAAAGAAAGGAAGTGATAGCACTAGAAAGAATACATTAAATATACCACAACCTGACAGGTTAAGTTGACTGCAAAAACTGAAGCAATGCTAAGGGTAGCTCTGCAGGATAAGGCCTAAAAATGGGGTTCTAGTAACAAATAATGGTTACTGGGCAGACAGTATTGTAGGGAAGGGGCATGATCACTAGAGTGTGTTTAGGTGAGGTCTAATGTTGATAGCACTAGAAAGAATACATTAAATATACCACAACCTGACAGGTTAAGTTGACTGCAAAAACTGAAGCAATGCTAAGGGTAGCTCTGCAGGATAAGGCCTAAAAATGGGGTTCTAGTAACAAATAATGGTTACTGGGCAGACAGTATTGTAGGGAAGGGGCATGATCACTAGAGTGTGTTTAGGTGAGGTCTAATGTGGCCAGAGCTAGACAACTCACAACACAGTAATTCCTACTGTTGAGCCTTCTTACAGGACAGTGGAGGTTTACCTAGGAGCAGACACTGAGGTCCAATATCGCAGCACTTAAAAAACCATCCTCACTACCTTGTTTTTTAATTAGGCAAATGTCTTCATTTTAGTATCAGAGAAATAGTCAGAATGGCTAACGGAAGGTCAGCTAAGCTACAACAATATTGAAGACAGCAGCAAAGAGCAGTCAGCTGTGGCTGAGTCATACAGGAGTCAAATGGCACGTGGTAGAACAAGGAGAAAGTCCAGTGAACAGGTTATGCAAATCACTCACCACGTTCTTGACAAAGGAAAACAGCAGGATGTAGGAGAGATTGAAATTTTAGTAAGATTTGAATTATACTACATATTCTCCATTTAAATTTTAAAACATGTCCACATACCCTACATGTTTCAAAGATATCACTAGCCTAGGAAAAATAGACTTTAGTCAGGAAGATTAAAAATTAGTCTGTAATCAGTTGTTTGGATTGAAAGCAAAGACAAGCAGAATATAGATTACTCTCTGACTTTGTGTTTGCACCAATTCTTTTGGCAACTTTTTGGTTATGCAGCCTACTTTCACATATTTCACAATAAAAATCTGAAGGTATAATCAAGACATTGTGTTGCAAGACCTTTTGTAGAAATACACAGAAACTATACACACCCTGTCATGGAATCTTGAAGGCCTGTATGTTCTTGGTGAGAGATTGTACACAGCATAGTGGCCAGGATGTTTAGAGTCCAACCATATCCGCACATCTTCTATACTATTTTTGATGGCAGATTCTACACCTTCAGCTGGAAAGGACATCACTGAAGACAGAAGAAATGGCAGGTGAAATTTTTCATGTATTAAGAACAATGAGAAATTATGCTTTAGAAAGACACAGCTGTCATACCAGCAATTCTGGAAGTGATGTATGATATATCCAAGTCTCCTTTGGCATAACTGAAACAGAACACATTGGAGTTAATACTAGGAAATAGAGCCATTCAAACAACAAGTCTAAAAGACAGCTCTCTTAGGCTACACACACCACCATCAATAGGGTTTCATTTCTTCCATGTGCAGCTTGTTATGTCACACTTCAAGGTTTTCAGAACAGTGATTTCAGAACAGGCACTGTGTTTGAACAGCTACTCATTTACATCAGTTGCATCAACACCATCTCCGGGATTTTGTACAGATGCCTTCAATGTTTAACTCACTCCTCCAGCTCCTGCTCTTACTGGGATACTTAGGGTATCAGTCTGAAAGCCTAATAAAGATGCAGTAACATCTTTAATGAAGAGTATCAGAATGCTTGAAACAAAGACTATGATTTGAAACATCAAATTTTAAATTATATAACTCTGGCATGTTACTATCTGACCCAGAGGGGCATGCTGTTCAACATCTGGGTTCCATATGACTGGAGTGTTAAGGGAGTTTCTCCAGCCACTCAGGAAGGACTGGCAGTCACACTCCCACTGCTACAGACTGTCCCTGACCAGCTGGCAGCTCCAGTGACCCGATGGGTGCCCTGCTTGACTCAACACTCACACAGTCAGACCAGGTTTCTTTACCAGCTCATCTCCACGTTTCCCATGGCAGTCCCAGACGTCTGCCTTCTTTAACTCCTTTAATCGTGGTGCAGCAATAACTAGCTCGAGCTGGTGCCTCTGAGAAGGGACCCTGAGCAAAGGACGCCCTGGATACCCTCACAGTCTAGGTATGACTGGACTGAAAATCCGGGGTCTCCCTGCTAAATCCAGTTCCAGCAGTATCCCAGTGTCCCGCCCACCCAGCCGGCACCGAAGTTACGCTTAACAAAGTATGATATAACACCAATACTTAGTAAGTTTTCTGATTATACCAGGGTGCTTGAAGGTTTTCTACTGATAAGTTTAGTGGGACTGGACTAGACTAGCCTAGTGTCCGCAAGTACCTGATGGATACTGGAGAGGGACATTTTCAAGGGGATGTAATTATACAGCATTAAGGAATGGCTTTGAACCAGAAGAAGGCAGGTTTAGATAAGATACTAGGTAGAAAGTCTTCATTGTGAGGGTGATGGCACCCCATGGAAGTTGTGAATGCCCCATCACTGGAATTATTCAAGGCCAGGTTGCATAGAGCTTTGAGCAACCTGGTCTGGTGAAACATGTCCCTGCCCATGGTAGGGGGGTTGAAACTAGATGAACTATGATTCTAAGAAATGTAGCAAATACAACATGAATTCTCATATTGCAAATAAAAACCTAATCAAAAGTTAGAAGTTTTAATTAGATGATAAATACTTTCCACTGTGCAAATGGTTGGTATTATCAATCTTGGCAGAGAACTGCAACTAAAGACTGTAACTAATGTTAAACAAAAGACATTCAAGGAAATTAAGTTAAATTAAAATCAGCAATTAAATTCATAAAATAAGTCCGTTGGCTTACAGAAAAAATTTTACAACAGTGCATAGTTACCTTGTGTTACTAAAAACTGAAGAAAGAACAAAGAATGACAGCCTGAGCAACATAGCTATTGTGGGAGTACACAAACCATTATCACCAATAAAATAATGTTCTAACACTAAGCAATCTTCCTCCAGCCATCTCTACACACACAAGATTTAAAAAAATCTATTTATTACTTAAATACCACTTGCTTTTCAGTTTATTTTTTCAAAGCCATGAAGAAACGCAGCACTGAAATACACATCAATCTGTTCCCACTTGGTTTTGCTTCACAGAACTGAATTAATCATTTAGCTACTTAGTGCAACACAAAGACCTATGAAATAAAATATTAATGCAGCATTAAACCAGAGCAAAATTACTTTAGAAGCAAAGAAAGCTAATAATAAAAGGCAGGTAATTGTTCTCTATATTACTAAATCATAATCTCTTCAGTGAAAGGCACTGTTCTGACAAAGCGAAGGAAGACTGGTAAGGTCTGCTTGCTGCTTTCAATATCAGTGAAGATCAGATATTTAAAACATTCAGATATTTATTTTGGTTAGGCATTTGTAAGCTGTGTGGATGCAGACCTCAATAAGCATAAAAGCTGCTCAAGGGCACTGCAGCTTCACAAGCTAGAAGCTGACAATCCTAACAGATTTATTGAGAACTCAAGGCTGCAGACTGAGTTACCAGGCACACATGGGTATATCTGCCTGGATCGAGGTTCCTGTCTATGCACACAGCTGCATCAGGCCCTTTCACAGAGCAGTGCATGTCTTCTCTATCTCCACCTCAGTATTTTCTTTTACCTCAGTTTGTTTGTATCAAGAGGGTTGAACTTCTGTTGTTCTATGATCTCTCTCACATTTTAAACTCTTCCTGCCTGACCTGAATCTGCAACAGAGATTGTGACACTTGCAAGTGAGGTAACCTGCAGGACAATCACAATGGCCCTTATTCACTCTCCTGGTTCCTAGTAGCCTGTGACATCTGTTTTGGTTTTCTGACTTGATCATTTATTAGGACTAGTAAGAGATCAAAATTTGAATCAAGATAAAAGGCAGCTATGGGAAAAAAATAACTTTTCTTGTAGAAGCTAAAACCACTAACTCTTACACTGTAGTTTGGATTCAGTGAGAAAGAAGTCTGTCTGCAGATAAAGGAATTAACTCCACAATTATAAAAGTAATGATAAGCAGGAAGGAGAACGCCTACCTAATGAGATGGCAGACTCCAACATGAGGAGTGTTAACATGTGGTGAGAAAAATGAATGTCATGGAAGAGACATTTTAATTTGTCCAGAATGTCTGCTTCTCATGTTGAAGAGATTTTGGAAAGCCAGTCAAAGATGCAAGAGTATAAGAGGTATTCATTCTCACATTGCTGATGGTAGCAGCTGTAGGCACAACACAAGTTTGTGAAGACAGAGAATGAGTGTGACAGAAAGAGACATGCCCTATAGTAGATGCAAACAAAGAATTAACAATTCAGCTTGATTAAAATAGAGTTTAAGGATGTGCAAGCACCACAGTGGGACTATCAACAGCAAAGTGAATGTTGTATGCTAACAATGTTAAACACTAAAGAACCTGAGCCTACCTTAGGTCCCACAAAATATTAAGTACTGGTCATGTTAATTCATGTTTTTCCATTTCAGTGAACTGCTAAATGGAATTAGGATTCAAAATACACGACAAGCTTATCAAGGTATTAAAATTACAGAACTAAGGGCCACTAAAGAATATTGGCAAATTAAAAGTGGAGTGAGTTTCAGAATTAAATATTATCTGAAAAATAAGTATTGAAGTTCCCACTAGTATAATTACATACTTGTTGCATTCCCTCTTTTTTTTCCACTCCTCAAATCCAATGACTACATTCAGTCAGATAACACCAGAAAACAAAAATGTAGTTGTATGAAGACAGAGGGTCCTCCACAAAACCAAATTTGTTTATGATAGTGCAGAACCTCTGACAGTCTCACATGTTCTGTCAAAGGTGATGTTCAGAAGTCAGCTAAATATAAATTTCATTTAACAAGACACCACAAAGGAAACAGAAGTTGGACTGAGGAAGAGAAGAAGATCAGTTCCACAGAAGGTGGCAGGTACAAGGACATAAAAAAACAGAGGCCTGCAAGACAGCACATGCCAAAGAAATAAAATAGAGAACAATTACTTAAAAGCTGTAGCTCATTATGTAACTTCATACATGGAATTCCTATGGTTCTGCTAAGCTGCTCACAAACCACCACTTTCACCATGCAACAGTCTGGTTGGTACGCATGTACACTACACTGTCTTGAGTACGCATGGTTTCCCCAGAGTGAAAAGTCTGATACCACTGTGCCAACTGCTTCTGTAGAAAGTTTGAGGACAAACCAAAGCCATAGTTTTTGCAACCTTCCAAAAATAGTGGACCTGGACTTCCTAAACCATGCATATGAAGTGTAAACAGACTAAGTGTAAGAGCAAACAGCTAAAAACGCACTTGGAATGGCTACAGAGATGCAGTATTTACAGATCTAGCTTATCTGATCATTGTAAACACCTTAGAGCAGTACTGTGTACAAGTTACACAGAGAAACTGAAAAAAACCCACATTGCAAGGAATAGACTTCACGAGATGTAACACAATATCCCAACTAAAGGGGCAGAAACCCTACAGTGAGGAGCAAAGTTCAGCATTCCTTAGAAGGCTCTAGTTCAGACACGGTATTCAGCAGTGACTTACCCGCTCGTATTACAACTAACAAAACTCTAACCTGCATAAAATTGTATTATGAGCTAAAATGTATAAATCATACAGACTGATTAATACAGGTCATAGAAAGGCACTAGAAACATTTGAAATGGGACTGAAAGCCTGATTAGAAATAAATAATTGCACACCAGGTATCTGAAAACATATACACCTAAATATGAGAGTATTCATCTATGCAATGCAGGGCAAAGGAGATAAAGAGTGCAGATCCCCTGGCGCTGCCTTGAAGGCCTAGTATTCCACCAGAAAACTGAAGAACTTATATGCCACTTCCCTGAAAGATTTTTTCCCCTCAAATCCATTCCCTTGATCTGCACCTTTCAGCATTCCATTTTTTTAATTCCCCTTTTATTCACAAAGACACTAGCTTCTAATTCAGTTCATTCATTCTGAACCATGATAGGCCTATTCCATACCTCTCTGCCCTGCTCCCGCCCCTATCTGCTCATCTCTCATAAGCTTTCAGCATTTAAAATACAACAGGGCAAATAGTACTTATGGCAGTGTGAGAGGATCTGCACTGTTTGTGTGCAATTATTACCAGCTCAAACTTGGAAAAGTATACTGAATTAATAATTTCTGGAGTAAGCTCCTGATCCTTCACTTACAACTCTTACCAGCACAATTTTTTAATTTTTTTTTTTTTTTTTTTTTTTACTCACTTGGCCACAGACTGGATAACTTTAGAAGATGTATCCTTAATATTAGTGAAAAATCGCTCTGTTCCACCCCTCAGAATATCAAAGAGCCCTCCGTAAGTCTGGTCGCATTCTGCAACGGTCAGGCCTAGAACAGTCAAATAAAAGTAATTGTACTTTAAGTCATATCCTGTCATGGGCTCCATAATAAAGTAAGTTGCCTACAAAGCTGGAATAAAATGCACATACAGGCTACACTTTGCTGTAAGGCTCACAGTTCTAAAGGTCAGTTTAACTACTTCACACATTGTATAATTTGCTGTCTGCATTTATAAGAAAATGAGGCAAGAGATTTCTGAAAATAAAGCATTTATTTCATCTTGTCAATGCAGCAAAATATTGCCCTTTTTTCTTAGTATCTGTTTCTTAAAGTGCAGATTATTGTCACTGGATCTATTTAATCATATCCAGCAGACATATTTTAATGCAGGGCTTCAGAAGCAGCTGGCATAATTAAGATACTTTTTAATCACAACATCCCAGATAGCACAGCACTGAAGCACAGTATCCCTATTAACACGATTGCACACAACAAACAACAGCCACTCTCGCACAAAACAGATGACCAGAAAGACTTTTGATATAATCGCACTAGGAAGCTGCATTCTTCCACAGAAATTAATATGCACATAATGTTACTGCAATAAATATTACCCAATCTTGAAATTTCCCCTGGAACATTAATATCCTTTGTTTAACTGACAGTTCAGCATAATTAATATCACAATCAGAGAATAATCAGAGTTGCAAGGGGCCCTTGAGGATCATCTAGTCCAGCTCCTACCCCTGCACAGGACATCCCCAACAATCACACCATGTGCCTGAGGGCGTTTCACTAATATCAAGCAAGAAATATCAAGGTGGAAGGAAAACTGAATACATGATGAAATTTTCCCTTGATATCTTCTATATTAATTGAAATGTTCCATATAACTAATATAAGTACAGAAAGAACAAAATTAAATTAGAAGTAAATTTACTTAGCAAGTTTTTTATTTTCTTTACTATATCAAATATTCAACTGAATAAACTCCATTTTTACAGAATGGCTATACCAGCGTCCAATCACGTCATTTTGGAGACATGTTTTGGTTGATTCCATTCAGTTCTGCTAGCCCAAATTCTGTTTTCCCTCATACAGAACCTCAAGAACTCCTCCACACCACTGATGTCACATGGTGCAAACAACTCCTGAAGTCCCCCCTGCACAATGCTCTCACAATTAGCAAGGTTCAAGGCAGTACCAGCTATAGCTATCTCTGAAATATTGACTGGATAGTCAATAAATTGAATTCAGGCTCCTGGGTTGGGTTTTTTTTGAGCCTCTCAGACAAGAACCTTTTGGAAGTGACAAAACTGAGTAGTTTTAGACTAAGATCACTGTCAGATGCACTTTAAAATATCACAGTGGAGTCAAAAGTCTTTTTGGGCAGGAGAGAAAAGAAGAGAGAGTTGGAAAAGGTAGAAGCAAATAATATAAATGTCAAATAGCTAGTACTAGTGCTCTACAGAGAGACCTGTACAGACCTGATCGGTGGGCAGAGAACAACTGCATGCACTTCAGTAAGGTGAAGTGCCAGGCCCTGCACTTGGGACACAACAATCCCATACAGCACTACAGGCCGGGAGAGGAGTGGCTCAAGTGTTGTTCATCAGAACGGGACTTGGGAGTGCTGGTGGCAGCAGCTCAACATAAGCCAACTGTACACAGGTGGCCAAGAAGGCCAATGGCACCTTGGCCTGTATGAAGAATAGTGTGTCCAGCAAGATTAGGGAAGTGATCATCCCCCTGCACTTGGCATTGGTGAGGCCACACCAAGTACTGTGCTCAGTTTTGGGCCCCTCACTTTAAAAAGGCCATTGAGGCACTGAGTGAGTCCAGCCAAGGGCAACGAGGGCAGCAAAGGGCAGAGCACATGGGCAAGGGCTGAGGGAGTTGGGTTGCTAGGCAGCTCAGGGGTGACCTCATTACTCTCTACAACTACCTGAAAGGGGGTTGTAGAGAAGTGTGGGATGGTCTCTGCTGCCATGCCTGCAGTGACAGGACAAGAGGGAACAGTCCTAAACTGAGACAGAAGATATTCAGATTAGATGTTTAGAAATTTTTTTCACTGTTAGGGTAGTCAGGCACTGGAATAGGGTGCCCAGGGAGGTGGTTGAATCACCATCCCTAAAGGTGTTTAAGAGGTGTCTGGACCTGGCACTGGAGGATATGGTTTAGAGGTTACAGCAGAGTGGCAAGTCAAAGGTTGGACTTGATGATCTTAGAGGTCTTTTCCAATCATAATGATTTTTGATTCTATTAAAATATCTGGAACCTCCAAATGACTTCTTTCCCCACATGGAAAATATGCAATTGTCTTTACACTAAGATGATGTCTCCTGCACATACCTGCATTGTACATACTTGTGAGCGATCCTGCAGGCTTGGCACTCTGTGAAACAGAGGTCACAGGCGTCCGAGGCTGAGCACTGTTCCCATAGCCTCCATTTTGTTCCAGGAGCTGAGGAGATTAATATTCTTTCTAAGTACCTTCTTGCTATGTTAGCCAACTTGTTATGCTTTGCAAATTACATTTACTTGGTGAGAACAAGCAAACTGAACCTCAGGAGAAAGACAGAAGTTAAGATACACTAACTGACTCACTTGCAATGTTATGCAAACTGAGCATCAAATAGGAGATACCTAAGTGGATTTCAGGTTAGCGTAGGCAGAGCCTTCATATACTAGAGTTTTCTGTTCAAGTTAATTATGACTCAACACAATGTCAAACATAGCACTAGCATACTAAACTAAGAGGATGAGGAGTTTTTCAACAAGCAGTAAGAACTACTTTCCTTTAATGTCTCTGCGCCTCAAAAGGCATATTTTTCAAAGATCCTACAAGTGATACAGATCAATTCAACTGAATTTCAAAATAAATAGTGTGAAATTTTCAAAAGATTAGGGAACAAGGGACCTGAGCTCTGAAATCTGCTAGTAAACGCACACTCACTAGAGAAAAGAGAACAGAAAGCAGACCTAATCAATAATACTCCTTATGTGACATCTTTACCTCTGTGATGGGGGATTTGGGATTGACATTCCTAGCTGCTGCAATCTCCTGCAGCTGGTTCACAAGTTCAGTGATAGACAGTCTCTCCTCTGGGTTCACCTTCAAAGTAGAGCCTAAAAAAGGAGATTCAGACAATGAAACAAGGTCCCCAGAGCTTTTCTGCCAGAGGATACTAGTAATTTCTTCAGTGCATTCTAGTGCAATAAGTGAACAGAGTGGAGCAACTGCTAAATCCATATCCAAATACCATTCTCATTACAGGTATCCATAAGGAAGAAAATATCATTTAAGGTTAAGAATATTTTTAAAAATATACTTTAGGATCAGTTAATGAAGAACCTCAGAAGTAGTTTTATGTCTAAATACCATTGGAGTTGGATACATTTCCGAAACTGTAACTGAAGTTTGCAGTAATCTATTTGAAATTTAAAGAAAATTGAATTTTTAAAGCAAGTTCATAGAAACCAAATCAAAACACTAGTTGTTCCTACGGACTAATTCAGATCCTAAGCAAGACAGACAACAGAACCAAAAAAACCCCCCTGAGTTTGGCATAAAATTTCCTGATTCTTTTTATAATGATTTAGATTTTTAATAAAACAAGGAGTTGTTGCAGTTCACCTTTTTCACCGTCACGTGTCAACAACATTTGACTATCACCAATACAAAGTGTCAATAATAACATGTATCCATAAAGACACCAAATTAAGTAACACTGTACACTTACGAATGAGATCATGAAACACAGAATAGTGTGTGTCATTTTCCGGGATCACATATTTGCCATTGACTATGCGAAGTTTAGCTCCATCTTCAAATGGATGTTGCCTAAAGCACAGCAAGTACAGGATACAGCCCAGAGCCTACAGATAGAAACACAGAAATATTGCATGGAATCACAGTCATTTAAGATGGAAAAGACCTTAATGACACTCAAGACCAACCATTAACCCAACACTCCTGAGTCCACCACTAAACCATGTTCCTAAGTGCCACATCTACACATCTTTTAAAAATGTCCAGGGATGGTGACTCAATCACTTCCCTGGGCAGTCTGTTCCAATGTCTGAAAACCCTTTTGGTGAGAAACTTTTTCCTAATATCCAATCTAAATGACTCCTCATGCAACTTGATGCCATTTCCTCTTGTCCTACCACTTGCTACTTGAGAATAGCATTCCTGTTTGGGTTTTTTAATTATTTAAAAGGCATTACAATAAATGCATTTTATGAATGTCACGGTATTAAAAAAAGGAATAGTCTTGCAACACTGAACATGCTCAGGAACAAAATTATTTTTACAAAACAGCCCAGAATTTTTATTTCATATCTTCATCCTGTGCTTCAAGGATATTAATTTAATTTGTGGGGACAGAATTGCATCTTGTTTATTTCTAACTCAGATACATTCTGTTATGCAATGGTAAATGTTTCAGTGTTAAATCACTTGTTTAAATGACACTAGGAGGACACAACACCATCTCTAAAATGCAGGTTTTGGTAAAGGTTTGAAGAAAATAAGCTTGAAATGGCAGACCATTTATGCCCTACAGTCAGATGGCTATTCAATTCATGTAACCAATAAAATCTCTCAATTATCCAGGTGTTATGGCTTAGCTAGGATAACTGCATCTGTTACTGAAGTAAACATGAGTTGACACGTATTTTTTCAAGTAAGTTAACAATAGAGTACTGTAAAAGAAACATGTTCCATCTCACCTATAAAAGTTTGATAAAGCATCCAATACCTCCAAGAGGCTGTCTGCACAACAGACTAGAAAATTCCTCCTCAAAGTTTCTTCTGAACCCTTATCTGGTTGGCTGCTCTAAGCATATGGGCTTTTATAGATCCCACAAATGAAACAAAACAGTGAGGACGTTACCCAAGCAAACTGCTCACTGCTTCCAGTCCTCTGTGTGCATCATGACCAACTGTCCTTGGCTGTCATTTTATTCCAAGAATAGCTTCAAAGATCTGAACATCATTGAAATCTCAAAGTTTTGACATTTAGTTAGTCCAAAATATTTACTGAGCCCTCAGAAATAAAGTACATATGTTATTTATATATATTCTTGCACTTTTTTGTCAGTCTGTTGAAAAAAAGCTCTCTGTAATGTATACGCTGAACTATCATACAGTCCACACTAATCAATCCAGCAGGGGAGTACCAAAAGTACCATCTACTCTTCCACAGAAACACCTCTTTACAAAGAAGTAAGGCAAATCATAATTTATCTGGAGGAATGAAACTACTCCCTGTGCAGCCCAAGACACACTGCACACCAGAAGACAGCATCCACAGTGACACAGGGAAAAAAAGCACCACAGCAATAAGCTGAACACAGAGGACTTGGGGAGACCACTTAGATTTGATCTTTCCTTCAACTGCTAGAGAATGTTTTCCATTTCCTCTGATTTACCTTTAATTTAGGATGGTAACTGTGATAAATTTTGCATACTTTAAACACCGTCATTCAATTTGAGAACACAGCAATTTCAGTTGCAGCAAGGCGACTCCTCAAAGCCAACTCCTCCACATAGCCTCAGCACTGATACACTTAAAAGAGCCCATTTTGCCAAGATGTTGTCCCAAAGCTGCACAGTCCCTTTACAGAAGTTGCCTGGGTCAGTCTGAACATTCACATGCCGGAAGGTAAAAAAGCAGCACAACAAAGTGACCAAAAATAACTAGGAGTAACTTTATGACCTGCTGCAGGGCCTTTACCAGCAGCTAATTCAAACCCTCCTTAAGGAAATAGTGAGTTTTTGGAGGGCCAAGGTAGTGTTTGGGGTTTGGGGGAATAAGAAGGGAGTAGGATTGTTTGAAACAAATGAAAACACTGTTATTTTCCCCCTTACCAGCTTCAGGCAGCAATCAGCACACTTAAAAAGTTCTATAGAACAGCTGCAGGATGACACAGATATTACACCAAAACACTTTCTGAATTGAATTAAACTACATGAAATCTGATGAGATTGCTCAGATCACATAGAATTAAAACCTGCAAGATGTCTGGCACAGACTAGAAGAACTTTTTACTAGACAGTCCTTAACAAACACTTCCAAAGGCAACTCTTCAGCTTTTTCAGAAATCTTTAAGAGCAGGAGGATAAGAATGGCCTTCCAAGCCAAATGATAAATGGAGATAAATCTTCTGACAAGGTAAAGCCTATCACTTAAGCTGCACTTCAGTTCAGGAAATCACATTAATTTTGAAAGAATGCAACTAAAGGTATTTGGATTTAGATTTTATATTCTGAAGATCTCCAGACTTAGGTAGGAAATGTCCAGAAAGCAGTTAGCCAAGCCAAAGAGCTTCTGGTCTTACAATCAATGTCTAATCACATTCCCACTGTGGAGTCAATGTGGCTGATAACTAATCTTCTATCCATGCTGCTGTTCTAAGAAAGATATTACTAACTCCCTTATGTTTTTAAACTCACACAGTGACAAGCACACAGACTGCAATCAGGAGTGCTATTCACTCTACCTGCTTTCTTTGGAAAACTGCTTTGTTTACCCTAACCACAAACTACAGGGTCACTTATGCTTCCTGAGACAGGACCATATTCTATTGCCAAATACTTTGCATATTTTCATTGAAACCAGACCATAAAATAAAAAACACAGAACAACATGTTCCAACAAAGGCATGGTAAATGAAACAGATCTTCCAAAGATACAGAAGGAGACAATCACCATGTTAATACTAACAGATATAGACTTCTTCTAAACAAAATAAAAAGATAAACTTCATCTGCCCTTTAAGTAAGGTTTTTGTAAAATACATTTCCATCTTTGTGTCTAACAGGATGTAATGCTGGCTCAGACTGCCAGTACCTCATGCACATGAAGTGACCAAATGGTCAGCAAAATGTGTTTAACTTGGTTCACATGCCACAGGAAAAATCACCAACAGCTGTAGAAGCTGAATAAGAGTTTCCACCTTATCTTGTAACCAATTTAAGAAACTGAACGAAATTCTGAGACTCCAAATGAAAACTTACTAAGCATCAGTATTAAATTTTCTCGATTTCTCTTCTGACACACTGCCAATACAGGTAACAACTGAACAGCCTGACACCTGCCTCTGTATAAAACATCCAATAGACCAAGTCCCTAAGCACATCACCAGGGAATACCTCAGTACTGCAGTACTGCACAACTGGAAAAGGTACAACTCAGGATTTAATATTTACCTTTAATTCTGGCTACAGATTTTTTTTTTTAGTGAATGTTAACAGTTTATCATCTGTTCTATACAAAGCATAAATGAGTTTCATGCTCATCCTTGCTACCTGTCAGTATTTTTATATGTATATATACACACACGCCCCTAGACATAACGACTTTGAACTCTGCAGTAGGCAGTCCCAGAATTACATGTACGGCAAAGCACAAAAGGCAAGAATTTGAATCTAATGTGTAAGTATTCTGAGCTTATGATGGCAAGCTCCAACTAGGTAACAGTTCTACTGAATGTTAAGGAAGGTCAGCATTGCCTCTCACAGTGGAAAGCCAAGCTAGATCTGTGATAAAACCTCATCATCATTAATATTTAGAAACAGAGTTCATAGTATCTATTTTGACATAAGACAGCATTCTGTGTTTATTTTGGTACTTTTATTAATTTAATCAACAAAACTAACATGAGGCCTGCAAAATCAGTTTCACCATGACATAAGCAGCTATGACATAGCAAGAGAAAAATTTCTTACCCAAATGTCCTGTTTTTCCCGAATTGGAAAATTTGAATACAAGTCTATCATTTCTGGTGACCTGTACATTGGCGTCGTATTCCTTGTGATCTGCAGGAGAAAATTTATTGAAACAGAACCTTGAGTAATAAGCTCTAATAGCACCCAACCAAGAAAACAGCTCTCCATGTAGAATGGATAGTATTCTCACTTTGAAAATTAATTTCAGTAACACTTGTTAAGGCAAAAGCCAAGAATTGAATTCTTCAATATGCACAACAGCTAGATATAAGGCCAGATGAAGGTACTCAAGTAACATTGTGAAAGTCAGAAGTCCTCCCCATCTGCAAAGAACACAAAGTGATTGTAGAACAATCTACAGAAATCAACAATAAACCAAGAAGTGAATTCACACTCCAGTGTGTATCTTTCACTTTCTCATCACACTTAATGACAGCACAGAGACAGCCACAGAGTTAAGTTACAGTCATAAGGACCCCTGAAGAGACCTTTATTACCACCTTTTTGCATAGACTATACAAGACAGTGGAACGACATCATTGTTTCTCCAGAAACCAGTCGACTGCCCTCCAGGGATGCTGGATTCCAAAACAGGCAGAGTTTACAGAGACTTGTGATAGCAGAAGTTGCACACATTAATTTTAAGCATCACTGTATTTCTCTTATTGATGTATTACATTAGATTTACAAGCATTACTCTCAACTCTAAGAACAAATACACTTTGCAACAAGCAGTCTGTGCTAAACATGGTCACTGTAGTCCTAGAGGCACTGCAATATTGCCTATTCATATTCTGCTGAGCAGACTTGCCACTTCTTTATACATCATTCAACTGAGAAAAACAGATGAGAAGGTGGGAGTCACTCTGGCATAACCAATTTCTGACTTCTTGTCAAGAGTGCCGTTAGAACAAGCTCTAGTAATCACTTGATTTCCACACCAGATTGCAGGATGGAGACTGACCATGTTGAAGCAGCATTTGTATATGCAGCTACAGAACACAAGCTATGATTAGAACAGCAGACACTGTTTGAACTCCAGAACACAAATACAAACCCAAAGCTTTAAAAACTACACTATAACTAAAACAATCTTCAGTTTTCTTAGAAGTCTCATGAAACAGTAGGAAATTAATAGCAAGAACTAAATGAATGCACTGTTGATATTACAATCAATAACATTAAAACAGTCTCACCTCTTCTTCAACCAGTGCCCTCTTCTGTGCAGACCAGTTGTAGTCAGGATAGTAAGCTACAGTTGTAGCACTACCGAAGTCACAAAGTTTAATCATCCCTTGTTTACTAATAAGCAAGTTTTCCACCTTCAAAAAGAAATAGAATAGATTAAAGATTTTCTTTTTCTGTACACTCACACACATGCTTCTTCATATCAGCTTACCTGTGTGTATATACGAAAACTACTCACTTTAGTCAAAACCATTGTTTACAAGAGCACAAAGATTTCAGATAGCAGCAGTATATGGTAACAATATAGCCAACATTAAAGAGGAAACATCAAACATGCAATGGGCAGGAAACATTGAAGAGGGTAGGAAAAAAAAATCATTTCATTAGAGCCTAAGAAAAGGCCAGCTTTTCAGAGGAGCACTCATAGAAGCAGTGTCTTGGAATCCAAATGTTTTCATGCATACAACTGATCACTGTCAGTTTAACTGCAGTGCAGTGGAGGTTAGGACTGCATTAGACAAAACAGAGAGGTATTAGCAGTCTACTAGGAGACACCCAGAAAAGGAAGCCATGACCCTACACAGAATACAGAAACTAGCTATTTGATGACCGTGTGCCACCTGAATAGTTCAGTCATTCCTGCCTTTTTATCCTTCATTAATTCCAACCTTCCTGTGCTGGAATTAATGAAGTAAATTTTTCCATATTTCATGTGGAAATGTGGAAGAATATTAAGGGAAGGGTAAAGTAAGTATTGGGCAGAGGTACTGTGGAGTTGCAATCACAAAAGGGCTCAAAAATAAAATTTGTACCTCTGTATCAAGTTAGCAAAAGGTGTAAAAGTTAACAAGTGTATTATAGCATTACACCACCACACTTCAGGCAACTAGATTTGTCTTCCCTTTCCTTTTAAAGCCACATCATCTCCAAACTTATGTCTAAAGCCTCCATTTTCAGAACATCTTAGCAGCTCTTCTTACACATGTCCCCTCCAACTTCTATCATAAAACTAATTTTTACTACCTTGCAGGAAGACATCATTATGTGGTTAGAGTACTGATCTCAGTGAGCCATCTGAAGTCCCTTCTTGGTTGGATAAGCATTGGTTATCTCCATGTACAGCAGGAAGGATGAGCATTCAACATTTAAATAAAATGTATGCACTAAAAATTGTCTCAGTAAGACCAGAGATCAGTCTCCTATTCAGATATCTTCTGGGGTTTGTGCTTTGGTAAAGACTGCTAATGTAAAATGTTCCAGCTGACTATTGAAATGTTAACAGGCTACGTGACCTCTGTTTTGCAGACTAGTTATGCACTGCATGACCAATGCTGAAAAGATCAAATCCTAACAATTAAAATACCAGAAAAACACTGATGTTTTACAAAGTCACCCTCTAACTAGCTTAGAATTTTTAAAATTTGGTAACTATCTGGGTTCTTTCAGTGCTGCACAAACACATTTTACGTGCAAGCTTTGTCCAAAGATCTCAGGAACAAAGAGTGCACAGTACTGACAAGCATGAGAAGGAAACCACAGGAGAACAGAAACAGCCACCAATACAAAAGTGAACTTGTTTTTACACTCCACTGTAGAAGTTCATGAAAGCTTATACTTTTAGTCAAAGTGAGAAAAACCTGTTAGAACTCCACCCAACTGCACCCCTCCCCAAAAGCTAAACACTTTTGAGGTTGGCTCAAAACTCTGACCTTAGTTCAGCCTTTTAGAAAGGATGGCACAGTTAAATGGTCCCTATTAGGCTCCTGAATATACTAAGGCCTCTGCCTATTGCAGCACAACTATCATTTAACCTTACTTTGCAGTCCCTGTAACATGAAGCCAACACAAACCCAAATTCCTGCCTTTTTCCTTATTTTATGTCTGCCAGGAACTATACTACTCGAGAAGAAAAAACAATTCTTGAATTACAGCAATGACTCAACTTCTACGGAGCTGCCTTGTAAGAAATTGTGTGTTTATTTATAAATATTTTTTTACCTTTTTTCAGAAAAGAGGTGCACCTTTTCTACAAACTATTGGTTGGTGTATAGAAATTTCAGTGAAGAATCAAAGATTGTATTTTTAAAGTAAAAAAGTTCCATTGCAGTTTGGTTAAAAAAAAGCAGAGAAGAGAAGAAAGAAAAAGGAATGCTCCATCATCAAAACTTATGTTGATGGACAAGCTAAGACCAAAGCTTTCAACAACAGCTTGGAAAATACTTAACACATTTACTTTTAAAAAGTACTTTCATTTTCCTTTCCCCAAAGTAATAAGTACATGTCTACTTGAGGAGGAACAAATTTCCCTTTTGTTTACACTGGGCTGAAAACATATCAAGCCATCACACACCAAGTGTGAAATTCAGACAGTGTTTCAGCAGTAAGCATCTTCTCTTATTTTGTTTATGTTTGTGAAAGTTCAAATGTACTTATAGTACATCTCATTGATGATGAATCTTCATTAAAAGTATAGCAAGCATATAATGATGAACCCCTGTCTTCAAACCACTAATTCAACTGCAGATGAAGTCCTTTGAAATCTACACAACTTCTAAGGGGACAGCACTTCCTACAGCATCAGTCTATAGAATCTACGTAAAGGCTAACAGACCAAAAAAACTAAGAAACAAAATCTAACATGAATTATGCCTACTGAGCTGGTTTTAGCTGGGATGGAGCCAATGTCTTCTCAGTAGCTGGTACAGTGTGGTGTTTGGATTCAGCGTGAGAATACTGTTGATAACTCACTGATGTTTTGGTTTCTGCTAAGTTGTGTTTATCTTAAATCAAGGGCATTTTCTTTCTGGTGTCTCAAAACTCTGCCAGTGAGAAGGTACACAAGAAAACTGGGAGGGAGCACAGCCGGGGCAAGTGACCTGAACTAGCCAAAGGGATATTCCACATCATAGAACATCATGACCAGTATATAAATGGGAGGGAAGGGATGCTGATCCAGATTTGGGAAAAGGGGCTGGCATCAGTCCACGGGTGGTGAGCAATTGTATTGTGCATCACTAATTTTGCTTTGTTCAGTTGTGGTGTTTCTTTCACTTTTTATTATTCATTAGTATTTTATCTCATTTTGTTCTCAACTATTAAACAGTTCTTATCTCAGCCTATGTATTGTACTTTTGCTTCTCTTCCCCATTCCACCAGGGTGAGGGGAAGGGGTCAGAGGAGGGAGTGTGAGAGGCTGCGTGGTTCTTGGCAGCACGCTGGGGTTAAGCCGCAACACCTACCAAATCTAAAAATTCAAATTGAAAACAAGCCCTAAAATGCAATGCAAGTTATTTATTCTAATACTAAGAGCTTACTACACATTCTCAAAGGCTGTGCAATCTTTCACAGATAATTCAACATTCTTCTCCTTCAAAGATCTGCCTCTTCTATTTAGACAATCTGCCCACCTGAAAACTAATTCACAAGTTTTAACTGGTTATTTCATCAAAAGCCAACTTAGACCAACTTAAGCAAATTCAGACCAATGTAACGAGCAAAACACGATATACCACTTTTCTGTCATCTTGTTCAGATATAGTACAAGCAGCGCTAACCACAAGAACAAGGAAAAGGTGGTGTTTGAAGTATTTCAGTGATGACCTTCACTGACACTCAGCAAATGTGTCAAGGCAATATATGTAAGCACTGCACTCCAGAGTGTCCACTACATTGGATTTGCAGTCTTTTACACCGATCCAGTCCAACAGGCTCCTTTGCTGTTTAAAAGTTCAGCCTTTATTTAAACATTGCAACCCACCTTTAAATCTCTATGGATAATGGGAGGCTTCTGCTTATGCATATGCTGCACTGCTCTACAGGTCTGATAAAAGATCTGCAAAACTGTGTCACAGGAGATAGGGCTTTTGGATTCTACTTTCTTTAAGAATTCCACCAATTGTCCTGCAGGAAATCAAGAGAAATTCACATAAGCACACACAGAACATTGCAAATTCTGAAAGTTTGGCAAGAATAGACAAATGCTCCCCTTGCCAAGAAAGATTTACAGTCTTGAGTTGCATTAGATAGATATTCTGAAAATTGGCAAATCCACACTCACTGCAGTGACAAAGGAAATAGTACTCTCAGGAAGCATTCCTCCTCTTCCTTCTCCTGACTAGTCTCAAACACAGAAAACTTAATGATTACCTCATAAGCCAGATGAGGTTGAACTGTAGTCTAAAAGACTATGATCTTTATCCTATAAAAGATAAGGCTGAACTCTAGCTCCACTGAACTATGCTATCTTTTAGAAGCTTTTAAAAGCTTCTAAGCTATGAAGCAATCTGTGCAAAACAACTGTCAGAAGCAATGTGCACTTCTGGGAAACAAAATAAAGCTTACCTTTACATAGCTCTGTAAGCAGAAGAAACTCTCCCTGTCCTGTGTCTGATTCTTCTTTTCCTATAGATGCTGCAGAACAAAACTGGACAATGTTGGGATGACCTGAAAGTTTTTTCTGGACGTAACATGTTCAAGGAAGATGACTATCAAGTTTATTCATACTATTGCATACAACAGTTCGTTTGAAATGTTAGCTTAACACCACAAAAAACACCACAGTTGCAATTAATATACCAAGCATAACAGGGAAATCCAAGCCTTAGCTGTAAAAGAACTAAGAAAGCCACCTACAGTGTATCTAATAAGTCAAAATGAAATATTGGAAAATCCTTGATTAAGGCTGTGAGGAAACTGGATTCAGTAATAGGTCTAGCTACTTGTTTTCATCTTTTGACTATGACTGCAAGACATTACCACACGTAGCAGAGAAATCTTCTAATTATCAGCTGCTGCTCTAGATGGCTGATCAGAAAGGGCTATTGTATCCTCATCTATCCTTCCAAAGCAAGCATTAAGTATGCTGTGTTTCAATTTTAAGTAATTAAAGTTCAAAACAAATAAAGGTCCAAAAGAGCAAGGAAGTTATCCTCCAATCACTAGCAGTAATTCTCCACACTAAAACCTTTGTCATGTTTCACTTAGAGTTGACAAATTCGAGGTATCATTTTTTAACTACGTAAAAGGGAGTAAAACACAAGTGATCTCAGTTCCTCACAGTGGAAGTTACATTCCATTACACCTGCCTGTGTTGCCCCTGATGTTCATCACCTTGATCACGTACTGAGACTCAAGCCTATGAGACAAACACACTGTTTACAAGATGCATTCACCAGGTCTGAAAATAAAAAAAAGCTAAGACATCGTAAGTACAACAAAGCTATTAATAAAGGGCAAGTTGCACCCCCAAATTGGAATTAATCCGATCTTAGGCATGTCTCCACAACGTTCTACTCAGAGCTGCAGGAGTTAATGTCATTTCAGCTTTATCTCAAAGTTAGCAACAATTAACCCTTGTTAATGTTGTACATATGTTTACATGACTCTAAGCTGTGGAGATCCAAAGAACATTCAGCTCTTTGCTCTTAGAAAGTCAGAGAAGCTAGAAAATGTATAGGGCAATGATAGTTCATTCTTGCAAGCGTACCTCTAGTAAGTGGTGTTTAGAGTAAGATTTTGCCAAACATTATCAACCACTGTAAAAAGAAGTATTTGAGTAGCTTAATTTAAGATCAGTGGTTTTGTCTGGTAATGAAGCTGAATACTCAGTGGGGAATACACCAGCATACCACAGCTACCCACTGAGTCTTGAAACAAACTGAGGGTCTAACAGGAGATGCTGGAGAGCAAATATTAAAAGTGGAGGACTGAACATTATACCCTACTATCTAATATGACTGAAGATGAAAATGGTATCAGTAACATGGGGAAACATCTTCTTGTTTCTGATGTATGTATTCTACTAGAATTCCTTCTTAACATTCAGTATTACTTTTTAAAGCCAGATGCATCTGAGGCAGAAATTAAACATTGAGAGCAAAAGCAAAGAGCAATAAACCCAGTGCATGTGGGGGAATCCTATTTAAGATCTAAGCATCATCCGAATAATCAGAAGGTCTCTTGACCACATTCACAGGACTGCAAGAAAGTCCAAATAACAATTTCATGTCTTGCTAGAAGTACGTGGTAAAGTCTACTACACTAGCTACAAAATTTTATGAGCACCCACTATATTGCTGCAATTTTTGAAGAACTGAACTTGCTGGACATTGGTACCAGATTCATGACAAACCATGAACCCAGACCTCCCTCGGAATGTCAGTCCTCTTAAGCAACATATGGCATGGAAAGAACAGCCCCTTGTTTCTCAGAAGTGTTTGATATTAGGCAATTAAATCAAGACACTCAAATATGTTACAGAAAAGGATACCATAAAACAAACTTCCTGAATGATGGCTTTGGTCTTCTCTTCTTCATTAGACAACAACCTCTGCCAAAAAAGAAACCCAATAATTAAGAAAATGTAGTTACTAAAACTTACAGAGTAACAGTGCATAGATTTTTCACATAATACAAAAGATGGTAAAAAACCTAAGGAACTGGGATGGGAAAGTAAACAAGGCTGGCTTATTGTACATTTTGGCATTCTGCTGTAAATAACACCCAATTTTCCAGTTACATGGACTATTCAGGTTTAGTGATAACTAAGCAGTTGTAACTTTTGACACTCCCAAAAGCAATTACTCTGACAATCCTCTGCTGTCACTAAAGTCTACTGGCTGCAGCACTATGGAATAATAAGAAAAAAAATCATCTTCTGCCTGAAATCTTCACTAACAACCTTCAACCCACTCTAGACAAAACTCCTCCAAATTATGCAGCTCAACTTTTTCAATGGTACTTGAGTAACCCACAGCAAAATCAAGCATTACTAATTCCAGTATTGCTTGGATGTGGAGTGGACATTTGACTAGAATCAGCCTGAGCACTTGCTACAAAAGTACCAGTTTCACCAGGCAGGGGAAATACAGTAGCAGTTCACCTTTTATCTGGTATTTTTAAATGGGGCAACATTTAGAGGACATTTTGAACACATACTGTATATGGGTTTGGTCACATGTTTTGTTACTGTAGGGTGTGGTATGAAATGGAAAAAAACCCCAAAGTAATTACTGCTGGTATAATGCCACCTTATCTCTCTCACTTCTCATACTACTACCCTTTTCGCTTTCTTTTCAAGACAGAGGTCTTCATACTGATACAGACACAGAACATCCCTACTCCAAAAATGATGACATTTTGTGATGAATATAAGTGAGGTAATTTACTTCTTTTCCAGCAAAATATAACTAAGTAAATTACTTCACTTTATTCTCCTTTCCATAATACTTCAGTATTTCAGCTGATTACAGCTGATTATCATAAGACTTTAAGAAACAAGAATCCAGAAAAGTATCTCTAAAAAGCACCAGGCTGAATGTTGAATCAATGAGCCAAAGTGTGGAGCGTTACTTGTACTACTGAGACAACTTACCTGAAAGTACAAAGGTTGGCTAAATCTGCTTCTGAGGAGTGAAATATACTCTTGTACACCACTTCAGGTAACTAGGAAATATTCTTTCTATATATGCAACAAAATGTTCGGGACAAGGTCACGAACTTCTAGACCAAATGAAGACACAAACACCAGCAGCACCAAACAGACCAAGTCCCATATTTGTCATCTAAGCATAAAGTGCAGGGTCCTAACAGGAGGGACCATTCTAAATAGTATGCACAAACATCACTATCATTCCGAATTTTTCCAAATTACTTGTTCAGTGGTATACAACAAGGATTAACTGTCATGCTAAACCATCAAGCTAAAAGACAGACCTTATATACTTGCAGTGAAGTAAAATTAATATTACCTTTAAAGCATAATCTTTGCCACTTCCAATATCTTGAGCTTCGTAGACATAAGCAAAACCCCCTACAAGAAGGTACATTTAGTCAGTTTTAATTTAAATATTCAGGTACATCATTATTTTTGGTCTAACAGAATTAACACATGAATTTAGATACTTTTCTGAATGTTACAAGCATACATATAATTCTGTGGTTTGCCAAGCGTGCTGGTTACCTACATACAAATGTTAAAAATATTCTATTCCTTTCTTTTACACATGCTAACAGCACACTGACTTGGTTACTTCTCTGCATTTTCTGAAGCCTGCATATGCAGATTTCCTATCAAGCAATTTTTTTCAAGTGCAGGACCTTATAAAACCAAGACTCAGTACAACCAATATTACATGAAGATTTTAATTATTACACCATTAGGCTTCTATAAAGAATAGCAATAACCAAGGGAGATAAAGAATTAAATATACTTTTAGGATAATTGCCATGCATCAGGCATTAATAGTAGAAAGCATTTTCAAGCACTGAAGTACACATTTCCAGTAAGGTTGATGTTGCTACTAAATTGCAATTTGTTCCTCCATGCAACATTATTTTCCTTCCAACTCGTTTTGTCAAACAATTTCACTTTGCTCAAGAACACTGTGCAAACTTCTGCAAAGTAAAAGACTGAGAAAAAGTTACAGGTCTGCTACGTTTCCTCACTGGCCACCTATGCTAATCTGACTACATCAAAAGATCATATTTATACAATTCTAATCCATTTTTAAGACCCTGGTGTATCATCTCCATTTCTTCTGGGAACATCACTCTTGTGGCTACACCAACAGTGAGGCTACATGTATGCCATCTGTTGCAGAGTATCTTTAATAGAGTAACAGCCAAAGTCACAAACTTCAAATATCTGCCTTCCTACTCTAGTACAAAATCTATTTTCATTGTACTACATAGCAATGTTCTGTCTCTAGCAACAATTTGGAGAATAAGCACAGAATACGTCAGGAGAACTACAGAATTTTACTGGCCAAAAAGGAAAAGAATGGGATGACTAAATAATGAACCATCACAGAAAACAAACAAGCTGACCAAACACTTTTTTGCAAAGATGCAAAATCCAGATCAGTACAGTATTAGTATCCAGTATCTTCTCTGCAGAAATATTAACATGAGGCTGAAGTGAATACAATATTTACATTGTGCAGTTTAATCAAATAAAAGCTTTTCAAGAATACTCTCTAAAATTTTATATGGCAATGGACCACCACAGTGCTCTCTAAGACTCCTGAATGGTCCTGCCCACCAGTAGCATCCACCACATGAAACAAGTAAGTGACAGGCTCTTTGCTTTTGGTATCTGAAGGGGAAATAAACACAACTACTTCACCTGGTGTGATAAGCTTTCCTAAAACATCTTCCTCCAATGTGAGAGATGCTTACAATATAAACCAAGCTACACAACCATCACTAAGCTTAATCCTGTTGACACTAAGTACAAAGGAGTAAAAGGAGGGACTAGTTTACCTGACTCAAAGAACATTAGTCTTCAAAGACACTATTTCAAATTTTCATGGAAGTGCTGATCACAATACAATAATCCTCAAAACACCAGATATAGTCATAGTTGCCATGAAATTGTCTCTCTAAATTAGCATATAATCTTGAAATTCATGCCTATAAGTCAATCACATCTATGAAAACTATTCAAGTTCACTTCTTGATGGAGAAGTCTGAGTTTTTAACACTCAGAATTGCAACAATATGAGCACCTTATACAGGCTCCTGAACATTAAGTTACTATTTTTTCCTTTAAGTTAATCTAATTTCCAACCAAAAATTCAATTTTAGTTCTTTTCACTGCTAGCTAGGAATCTAAAGAAATTGTATATTCAGCTTCATGACTACTTCAAAACACATTGTTAAGTTCCAATGGTCATTGAAATTCATAAATGTTAATTCTGGCACAGCAGTGCAAGTGAACATTGCACCACTTAGTGCAACGCAAGCCATTCAAAAATTGCAAAGTCCTGCTAGCAACGGAAGCTAATACAAGCTCTGCTTAGGTTAAAGCACAGCTATTTAACTGTCAGTGAAACACAATTGATATTCTCTGGAAATCCAGTGAAATCAGCACACGAAGTGTCCAAACTAAGACTTTGCTGAGGTGAAATTTAGGATTCAAGTTGTGCATTACCAAGTTACTTGGTTTAAGTACTACACCTTCCTAGTTAACAAAAGGAACGTAATTAAGAGTCTTGTTTAAGGCCATTTCAATAGTGGCATGGCTTACAAGAGCTCCTAGCAGGAGTTACGCAGTAGGATCCCACAGTTATTACGAAGGTATTAGAGCAGTAAGCTGAAGGGAGAAACTTCATTGGACTAGCAATAGTCTGAGTATCCATAACTGGCCTAAAAAGATGCATTTTTACTTAAGTGATTGTACCTTCAAGTACTGAAATGCTAAAAGAATTCTTAAGTTCATTAAACTCTTAATTCTTAAGTTCATTAAAGAATTCAAAGTTCATTAAATTTTGCAGAATTCAAAAAAAAAGTCAGTGGTATCATGCCTATTAATTCCTACTTCATCACACCCATTTTATAGAGAACCCCCCAATGCTGTTGCCTACAATCTCATCCCTTATAGCTATGTCCCTCTCAAAACATTAGTTTCAAGTAAGTTTCCCATTCCGTCATGTCACTGTTTCACCTGAACACAATTCAGTTCCATACAACACTGCACATCCCACATGTGGTTCAGCTCACTGCCACTGCAGCACTACAGCTGACACCATGTTTAAACCTATGGATTTTCTGGGATATCAAAGGAAGCAGAGCAAGTTGTAAAGGTACTTTTAATTTACCTTTTTTAAAATAAACCGTTTGCTATTGGTGAAAACAATTCTTACACAAATGGTAAAATTAGTCCTACTGCTTCATTATTAAAAGCAGTTTCATTCAGCCTTTGATGCTGGCTCCCTTGAAGGTTTGTTGACTAAAGCAGATTTACTATACCCTCCATAGGAATAAGTCTACTGACAAAACTTCTCTGCTGTAACAGCTTACTCCAGACCCTCTGAGCAATATATTTTGCATAAATGAAAACGAAAAATAATTTTAAAATAATCACTTTCAACACACCTGTACAAACAAACACCTGTATAGTTGACACAACTGAGGCATATGATAAAATGAAAGTTAAGAGTAAGATGCTTGCTAGGGGTGTATAAAGAATGTAGTTATATTTGGGGTGTTTTCACTCATTTTTTCCCACTCATGTAAACATCTGTAGATGGTTTTAAGAGAATTTTCTGAAGCTTTCTGTATCAGCAAAAGCATCTTAGTACTTCCCCATACAGGTTATCAGTGTGTGTATAGACGTACACACCCATCTCAGCTCTTGCCCTGAGACAGGTTTTACACTGCTGAAGCATTTCAGAGCCCCATTCTCAGAACACAGACCAAGCTCTCAAAGATGGTCTCAGATTTATATTTGCTTCCACAGAAATTATGGCAGAAAACTCACTTTCCTTCTTTTCTGTAGACACAAGCTTACACATAAAGGCTCACTACACAGCACCACACAAACTCAGGAGAACAGTGTAGCCAAAGTATTCAGTCAGTCCTGGGAGCAGTCTTGCCCCATAGCAAATCTGGAGTAACACACAAGAGCACAAAGCTTACCAGTCTCATCCTCCTGACCCACACTGAGACTGTCCTTTGCAACAGGAACTAGCCTCCACCTCATCTGCTTTCGTAGTTACCACTCTACACTCATCCTTACACCACCACAGCCCATGGGCATCATTCCTGTCAGGATGCCCAATCTGAAGACAGCAGGAGAGGCTGGGACTTCTGTACTTTATATATATTTTTAGTTTATACTCAATATACCCTAAGGATTGTATTATACCAGCTATGTTGTCTAGAACATCTTACTTTCTAGCAAAAAGCAAGCAGTTAGCCCAACTTCAGTTAGCGAAATACAGGAATAAACAAGGAAATTAAACCACAATACTGAGACAAACATGGAAGATGAAGCAGAAGTTACAGATAAATTGTCAAGAACAACAGAGTTAAAGCATGTACCCATTTGCTTTAAGTCATCTAACCTGGCATCTTTCCCCTGACATTTTAGAATGCCTGTGTCAGATCCTGGGAAACAGCAGGCTGCTGTCAAAGCAGTGTATTAAAATACCTGCATCAGAACCAAGAACTGAACAGCAGATACATCTCAAAAGTTGCTTCCTGCCCTAACTTTCCTTTGTCCTTCGGAAACTGCCATATCAAGATTGTTACCAGTACCAGCAGCGTGGCCAGCACGCTCAGTGTCACCTCATACTAAGGGCTTACATTTCACTCACATCTCTGACCATAAAGAGGCTCTCATTAAAGGACGAAGGTGGAACAGGACTTGACACTTAGTACTGTTTTAAAAGGAACTTACTACCTAAGAAACTGGCCGGTTTTGTCTAAGTCATATGCCCAAAGTGCTTAAGCATTCAAGTGATACATTATCTGCCCGCCCTTAGGAAGATAAAGAAGTGGCGAAGACCAATTTCCTGTTGTTTTACACTGCAAAATTTCTCGAAGTAGTTCTAAGCAGATAATCCTAAAGAAACAAATTTTTCTTCCCTGTTTCCTTGCTTCCATAAAAAACCCTACTTAAATACAAGACAATTACATGAAGAAACTACAGAAAGTAACTCCAGTAATGAAAAGGAGTTCAGAACAGAGCTTTAGGGTACCTAACCTGAGTAACATCAACCACCTGTACAAAGTTAACGAATTATGTAACTGCATTGGTATGGACAAGCTCACATTTTAGCCTTTTGAAGCAAGCTTTCAATGGCTCTTCTGCTTGAGGAAATAATTTCTCTGACTACAGGCACAAGATCCAAATTTCTGCTGATATCTCAGTAACTTGCACACACCACATACAGCTCTCGTTTCAAAACAGACTAGCAAGTAGTGTGCCAAGATACCTACACAAAAACATCGCCAAAACTGAAAACTGCCCAGATATTCAATTCCTGTACTCTAGCAAAGTCTGTGTGCACAATGAGATCAGCCTCA